TCGATATAATACACAGAAAAATCCAGTCGACTAAAAACTCCGTCGAATCAAAAATACCCGGACAAAAATCTTCAAAATATAGTCAAAACGTGCACACCCGGCACAGCAACAATATACAAAAAGTTACGCGGTAAAAACGGAACCAATCAAAAGATACGGACGAAAATCGCTAACGGAAATAAAATCCGGACAGAAAATACCGCCAAACACGACGGTTCTGAAAATTGAGAAAGGCGGAATGTGCCTTACCTTGCGTACAGCAAATTCCTGAATAATCTCGTCGGACGAAAACGGCTTCGCGTCGTCCGAAAATCAACTTTTGCAAATTCCACCTCGACTTTCTCTCTCCTCGGCTGAGATTTTTATAAAATTTTGATTTTCTCTCTCTTCAAAACGACTGATTTCAGCTTTATAATACACAGATCGGCCCGGCCGATCGCCAGATCGTCCCGGGACGATCAGACCAAATTGGATCGTCCTGGACGGTTCCCAGAACTAGTTTCAGGCCGATATTTTGAACAGTGCCAATCGGCCTGGACGATGCTTACAGAAAATCACCTGGAGCAAATCTGGACAATTTCTGGAACAGATTCTCAACTGATCGTCCCAGGACGAGACGATCCTGGAGCAGATTTTGATATTACAATACCCCTGAAAAATGGGAAAAAACCACGGGGAATACCCCAATTTGAATGAATCCACAAGTATTGCAGTTGATTACAAATGAGGTCCTTCCTTAGGGGAAGGTCTTAGCTTGATGCACATCTTACAGAGTACATTATATGGTGGAAATACAAAGAATCAATGTTGATGTGTTTGTTTTGTCGGAAGGATTGTAGTCAGTGGGCGACGTAAGTCGGAAGGACCGTAGTCGGCGAATGACGGAGGTCATAAGGATTGTAGTCGGTGGGCGACGTAAGTCAGAAGAATCGTAGTTGGCGGGCGACAAAGGTCGGAAGGACTGTAGTTGGTGGGCGATGCAATTCGGAAGGATCATAGTCGGCGGACGACAGAGGTTGAAAGGACCGTTGTCTGACAACAGAGGTAAGAAGGACGGCGTCAGGTAGAAGTCCAACAATGGATAGAAATCCGACATCGGATAGATGTCCAGCAAAAATCCGACAATGGGCAGAAGTCCGACGTCGTGTATAAATCTGGCGACGAGTGGAGGTCCGGCGTCAGGTAGAAGTCTGATGTTAGTCGGCGACCGAGGAGAACTCCAACGTTAGATGGTATTTGGGAAAAACTCCAGAGTTACTTGGAGATCGGACATAATTTTGACATCCCTTTGAGATCGAGCGGAGTTTCGGCGTCACTTGAAAGTCGGGCGAAGCTCCGGCGGTGGTCAAGGAGGAGTTCTTCCCTCCTCTTCTTCTCTTCTCCTCTTCTTCCTTTTTGCTTCCTTTCTTAATTACGGCGTTGGCTGGCCGCCGGATGAAGTCCGGCGATGGTCGAGGAGGAGCGTCTTCTTTCTCTTCATTCTCTTCTTCTCTTATTCTCTTCTTCTTCTTCTTATTCTTCTTCTTCTTCTTCAGGGGTCCCCTCTTAAAAGAAATTAGGGGCTATTTATAGTTTTTTGAGGATGACATGACCTGTAAATAGGAGGAGGATCAAAGACAAATGTGGAGTAGTTTGGATGGACGACCCATATTGAATCCCTTGATCGTGGACCGTTCGTCAGACATTTGAAGGTCTTAATGATTTCGGAATTCAGCGATCTTGGGCTCGTTGGATTCGTCTCATCGAGCCGCACCATTCGATTATAAGCATGCCATGTTTGGTAAACGTTTGGTAATCCAAATTGTGGTTTGAACCTTCCAATAGCGCTTTGGGTCTTCGATTTGGACCCATTTTGGCTCAAATTGAGTTGAATTCAGTGTCGTTGGGTTCGTCTTTCCGTGACGTTCAATTCTAATATAAGTTTGCTGAAATCGGTGTTCAAATGATATCATATTTAATCTTTGAAGTTTCCAACTTGATTTTTCCTCAAGATTCGTGTCCGATCAAGATAATTAATTGGTGACACATCAATAACAACTTAGGTTTGTTTGGGTTGGCTTTCTTACTGCTTCTTAAAGCAGCTTTCTAGCATAAATTTTATAATTTTTGTATTACAAAGTCATTTTTAGAATAGTAAGAAACATGTCCCAAGCAAAATCTTAATATTAAGTGAAAATTGATATCGATGTTTTGTTTAAGATCAACAAATTTGGCAAGGCAAGAAAAGTATGAGTTTGGAGAAATAAGGAGAATACTATTCATGCCCAATAAAATCTTCTAAAAACACTCAATGAGTATTTGAAAATGCCTATGATGAATAGTGAATTAGACAAGATAGTGAATTCAAAATGGCACTTACAAAGTTCTAGTTATATTGCAATATACGATTGTTATGAATGCTTTGTAAGAAAAAAATGTAAAAGACTTGTCACTACTCGTGACCAAAAATCCCACAAAAATTTTTTTATTAGAAGAGGATATTATATTTATTACATATGTGTGAAGGTTTGCCAATCATGTCACATTTTAATAAATTTAGGTTTTCTTTGGGACGATTTTTTTTTATTGATTTTTAAAACAGAGTTTTAGTTCAAAAAAATTAAATTTTTAATAAAAACTCTGTTTTAAAAAGCAATAAAAAAGTCATCCAAAATAACAGTTTTCTTACAGCTTGAAGCAATTTTATAGTATAAAAATTAAATTTTTTGTATAAAGCCGTTTCAAACAAAGCCTTAATTAGCTCAAACATTCATGATTTGAAAAAATGTTGATGTGATAAAAGCTTAATCTAATTTAAATTTTTTGGTTGTTTTAAGATATGTAAAATATGATAAGATTCATGCAATCAATTTTATTCTTTAAGTAATGTATTAATTAATATTATTTATATTACAACAATAACAAAATTCTGTACAATGAATATTCAAGGACAATTTTTCTTAATTATTATAATTTTAAAAAAGTATTAGAATATTAAATATTTTTAAACTCAAGTGCATTATATTCACTTATCATAAGATTAGGGGTGTAAATGAGTTAAGTCGAGTGCGAGCCTCTCCTAACTTGAGCTTGATTAATTAATTAAGTTTGATCTTGAGCTAGAGCTAAATTCTATAAGTTTGAGTTGGGCTGGGTCATTTACAATGAGAGAGATAATCTCATGATGATACAATGAATTGTTGTAATAAAATTAATAAAAAAGAAAAAAAATATAAATAATAAAGAATCATTTGATATAAAAATAGTGAGATATATAATTTAATTTAATTTTTAATAGCTTTAAACTTGAAGTCTTGAATTCTAATATGTATTAATAATATTTTTATATTAATATTTTTAAAAGGAGCTATCTTAGGAGTTAACGGATCTGGTTAAGGTTAACTTAAATTTGATTTGTTAGCACATCAATCTCAACTCATGAGTCATTCATAAAGTCGACTCACAAGTAACCTAACTCTCTTACACCTCTATTAGAAATCATCACGTGCAAATTTTTTTAAGAGTGGATGAAATAGGATTGTAAAAAATATAATTTTATATATGAAATATAAAAAAGAATTTTTTTTTTCATATAATTTGGTCAACTGAAGTTATTGAAGATGAATAAAATAATTAAATATTTTTTTAAGAAAAAAAAAATCAGAATTGCAATTGTGATCTTGAGCTTTCCTAAAAATAATTATTGTTGTGGGCTAGAATATGCGCGGCCCTAGAGTTAGAAAATTTATCGTCTCAGTGTTGCACGGATATCTAGCACACAAATAGGAGATGAAATAACAACATTATTTTTTACGTGGAAAGCCCTATAAAGGGAAAAACCACAGGGTCACGCCCAATTGATAAGATTCCGTTAATGTTTGCTTAAATTACAAATGGTTGACTTGTCCCTGCAATTGAGGACCATCATATTACAACTATCGAGTTGAAATTCAATTACAAACATATATTGAAATTTTGGCGACGTTGGGTGATCAGGTAGAACTTCTGCATCACTTGAAGGTCGGGTGGAACTCCAGCACCACTTGGAGTTCGGGCAGAACTCCGGCGTCCCTTGGAGTTTGGGAGGAACTCCGACGGTGGTCGAGGAGGAGTCTCTTCCTTCTCTTCGTCTTTCTCTTCTTCCTTCCCTTCTTGCCTCCTTGCTTAATTTCACCGTAGGTCGGTAGCCGGTTGAAAGTCCGGCGGTGGTCAAGGAGGAGCTTATTCCTTCTCCTTTTTTTCCTTCTGTTCTCTTCATCTCTTCTTGCTTGGGTCCCCTCTCAAGAGAAATGATGAATTATTTATAGTTTTTTAAGGATGACATGACCCGTAAATAGGAAGAGGATCAAGTGCAAATGTGGAGTGGTTTGGATGGACGGTCGATATTGAATCCCGTGATCGTGGACCATTTGTCAGATATTTGAAGGTCTTAACGATATCGAAATTTGGCGATCTTGGGCTCGTTGGATTCGTCTCGTCGAGCCGCTCGATTCGATTATAAGCATGTAATATTGGAAACCGTTTGGTAATCCAAATTGTGGTTTGAACCTTCCAACAATGCTTCAGGTCTTCGATTCAGACCCATTTGGGCTCAACTTGAGTTGAATTTGGTGTCGTTGGGCTTGTATTTTCGAGACGATCAGTTCGACTGTAAGTTTGCTAAAATCGGAGTTCAAATGATCACAAATTTAATTTTTGAAGTTTCCAGCTTGATTTTGCCTTGAGATTTGTGCCCGATCAAAATATTTTTTGATGATATATCAATTATATTTAAAATTAATTTAAGATAAAATAATCCAATCACACGATTAAATAAAAATATATTGTGCTGCATAGTATTGTAAGTCACTTCTAGTCTAGCGATAAAATTGCCAACGGTCAAAGTTCGAATACAAATTTTCCCAAAAAAAAAAAAATCGAATACAGAAATATTCAATAGGAAATGTTCCTTGCAAGTTGCATGCCCTCCTCGGAACTCGGAATTACCTAATTCGAACTGCGCAGCCCTCTTTGCGATCGCCACAATTCTCTGGACTTATTCGTAGTTCACACAACATCCGATCCTTACGGCCATCGCCGTGACTTTGGCTTACAGCCGGCGAGCGGTTGGAAGTTGGAAACCCTAACTATCTGACGTCTACTGAAGCATTGAAACCCCCTATTTTTTGGAGGATGACCGGGTACTCAATCTTCCCATCAAACTAGTGATTTTTAGGTTGTCCTCGAATGCATATCTGCTTAAGGATAGGTGGGAGACATTGGTTCTCCACTTAATCTCGAATCTGACCGGTTTATGCCCAGTTGTACTTTTAGCAGAAAAAAGATTTGGAAGATTCTTTGCTGGGTTATTGGATTTTTTTTTTTTTTTTGTTATTTTTAGGTTTGGAGCTTTAAAGTTTGTACTGTTTGTTATTATTACTGAATCCCTGGTTTGGTTTAAACTGAAGTGCAATCTTACTGGAACTTCTTATGATGCATGTTGTAGAGGAGGTCGCTTGATTTGGTAGGTTACCGTGGTGACAAATGGGCTAAAAGTGGCGAGGTGGTTAGAAAGATAAGTTTTTGTGGCTTTTGATTGGATTTCGTTGAACGTCACTGCTTTCTGTTTGGACGATGTTTTCCCTACACAATGCCAGGACTTGCGCATGGTTTTATTGAGCTGAAAAAACGAGGGGGCGTTCGTTGCTTTGCATTTATAAGTGGCTTAATAAGCTTCTAGCTTCAAAAGCTATAGCGGGCATCTAGGCTAGAGGCCGAGGATGAGAGTTTTGCTAATTATTTTAGAAACCATATTTGGAAATATTTCATGGCTTAGTTTTTCATCTCATGTTTGTTAATACAAAATGGGGAAGTACGAAGATTTTTTAGCAATGCTAGGTTTGGAGTTTTATTAGCTGTCGAATATTGGAAGCAAGGGGACACCATACTTTTGAATGAACTTATAGAAATGAAACCAGAGGCATTGTTAGTTTCAATAATTTTCCTCTGGTTTATTTATGGAAACATTTCATGGAAACGGCTATCAAACTTCATATAAAGCCTCATATGCGACTTATAACCAAGTTAGTAGATTTATGCCACTATATCTATGGGTTAAGGATCTATACATGGATAGACATATGATAATGGGTTCATTCTTTGTGTTTGAACCAAGATAAGAAAAACATTTGTTCTTCTACTTATCTAAGAAAACACATAAGTAGGGGCTACTCAGTCACGTTTGACTTCTTCAGTCTGCTTGATTGATATATTTGCTTACAGAGTTACAGTAATATACCATATTAGTTAACGCGTGCATTCACAACTAAAGATAAAACACAATGGATTTGTCATATAGTTTCTAGCTACACATTGCAACTTATCGCATATCAGCTTTTTTACTTCATTACAAGCCATTAGAACTTCTCCTTAACACCTAATTTAAGTATTGATACTTTTGGAAAGGATTTCATTCACGAGGAAAACAGGGGTTTAAATGGAAATTTCAATTGTAGCGCTTATGCATCGCGACTCTGTTGATAGCCCTAACACATTGTCATTAGGATTTCGTTCACGAGGAAAACAAGGGTTTGTTATCATCATGTCATTTTTGCTTCTATGTAGGCCCCTATTCTATGTTACCGGGGGCCTGACATTCATGTTGTCATTTTCCTCTCCTCTCTCCAAAATCCAATAGTACACTACAGTATTGCATGGTCTCAGCATAACATTTGCCTACTACTTACGAGTACCTATTTAATTGCATTACTCTTTTCAACTTGTATTATTTACTATTTTAATATCACATGCAGACCATCATGGCTAGTTGATAGCAAAAGGATTGCCAAAAAGATTAAAAATGCATCAGACAGAGCAGATCCCCGGAGCATTAAATGGATAAGCAACCCTACCAAAGCTTGTCCGAGGTGCAATTGTGTTATTGATAATAGTGATGTAAGACTTCTTTCATATGAAGTTCTGTTGTTGGCAAATACTGAATATCTATCTTTTCTATTAACCTTACATTCACACCGGAAAGCAACAAGTACTTCTAGGAACGTAGTGCTTTGTTATAAAGCTCTTTTCCTTTGTGTTATTAGTAAGTTATCACACGCATTGTTTCTCAGGGATTAAAACAACCTATGTCAGCTTAGTCTTTTCATTTTTGAAATCATTGGATCTCCTGGTGAATTTTTAACTTTATATACTCTCCTCTTTTGTCAAACTTTCAATTGGCTACACTCTTCTCGTTTTTTGGTCTGAAAATGTTTTTCGGCCTTTGACCTATGTTAATGTCAGGTTGTACATGAATGGCCTGGCTTGCCTCATGGTGTGAAGTTTGATCCTTCTGACCAAGAGCTGCTGCAGCATCTGATGGCTAAAGTCAGGAAAGCAGGTGCAGAACCTCATCCTTTCATCAATGAATTCATACCAACGGTTGAAAAGGATGAAGGAATATGTTATACGCACCCTCAGAAATTACCAGGTGACTGATTATTCTATATATATATTTTTAATGCTGTTTTATGCTGTTGTTTTTAATATTTCTTTTAAATTGAAACTCTTTTCCTTTCAGGAGTTAAGCAGGATGGAAGTGCTTCTCACTTTTTTCATAGAACATTCAAGGCTTACAATACTGGAACTCGTAAGCGTCGAAAGATAAACACTGATGATCTTGGGGATGTCCGCTGGCACAAAACAGGAAAGACGAAACCGGTGCTTTTAGATGGGGAGCATCTGGGATGTAAAAAAATAATGGTTCTGTATGTTAGTGCTACAAAGGGAGGTAAAGCTGAAAAGACTAATTGGGTGATGCACCAGTATCACCTTGGCATTGGTGAAGATGAGAAAGATGGTGAATTTGTTGTCTCTAAAATACTTTTTCAGCAACAGTTAAAACCTTGTGAAAGGAGTATAGTAGATCCAATCATAAAAACTACAGAGGATGTTGCTGCTGCGACGGTAATCATGGCTTGTACTGGATCTGCAACTCCTGAATACCATGATGAATGTCAACATATGATTCAAACCTCAGAGGAAACGTCTGATCAGGTAGATATTATCTTAGTGTAAGTACTATCAAATCATATGTTTCTTCCGGATATATATCTCTCTAAGCAGTTTCTTTTCAGCAACTCATGTCGAATTGAGCCAAAAATAGCCTTCTGCTTCATAGCTCGTTAGATGTGCGTTATTTGGAAACACTATAATAAAATCATGGCATTTAATGTAGATGGGAGATAGAAACCTAATAAAGTTTGCAGATTATTGTACTCAAATAATGAAAAGATTCATTGGTTCACTTTAAAGAAACAAGAGCATGGAAGTAAAAAATGTTATCACAATATTCAGGGCAAGTGATTTTTTTTTTCTCTCTTTTTAGTGTTGTTGGAGATGGTTTGGATCAACCATATATTAACTTAATATAATTGTTTATGAGTCCAAAAAGTTGTAGTATTGATTTTCTTTGCATTTTATTTAATAATTCTTGGAAAATTATAATTTAAAAGACTTCTGCAAGCCAACTTCTTGGTTGGAAGCATCCGATTATAAAAGATGAGAACAAGATATCTTTGTCTTGCTCATATAGTTAGAATCTTTACTGTTGTTCTTTTAACTATCAAACTTTCATTCTATCCTATCAACCTGTTCAATCACAAACCAAAATATGCCCATGCCCACTTAATTTTAATTGAATAACTTAACACAAAGGTCCATTGGTCATGCATTTAAACAGTTTCTGGTGTCAAGCATGAAGCATTACTTTGAAGTTCAAATTTCCTGTGAGAAGAGGCACCTATCCCACAGAAACTAAACCAGCGTCTTTTAGTTGTTACCATCTTCTTGTGGGTAGTTGTGCTGTAAACTGATTTGCTTGAAATGGTAATTGGGTTTAACTTTCGGTATGATCCGAACTGAAACCTAGATATATGCATAAAGTTCTATGGGAATAATAGTTAGTGAGATAAATTGAATACTTATTTAGGTTGAAAAATTGAAAAGCTAAAAGCATCCTATCTATTTAGGTCCCTGTTTTTAAAGTCATAAATATTTGTTCTGTTCTATAAGCATCAGATGCCAAAATCCCTTTCAATAGCTTCCTGCTGTTATTTGAACCCCAAGTCCATGCGGCTACTGCACTTCCCTCCAGTGAAAAAGGGGGTGACATACGCACTTCAGATTTTGGTATTTAGTGGTTGGTCCTTGAAGTTTTTGGCTTCATTTATATTGTCAATTGCAGTAATAAGGCAAAATTTTCCTTTCTGAAATATGTAGGTACTTAACTCTGAATGTTCCTTCCTCCCTCCCTCCCTCATGCCCTGGACCTCCCCTCAATCTTGTTCTGGAAATTGGTTGACTTGAGAGGCTGCATAACTATTATCAAGCTTATCTGAGATAGTTGCTCCATTACACTGCCTTACTTACCCCTTTTCAGGTTGTGTAGATGCCTTACTTTTACCAGCTATAAACTTGACCCCTAATTAGAAAATTGTATAATGACAGAGAAAGAAATTTGAGCTATGCATGAGAGGCTGTCACCAAGCCCCACCTAGATAGAATCCATTCTTCTTGCAGTGCATGACAAACATCAAATTTACAGGTAACTCATTCTGTTTAACAGGAAAATTAGTTAACAAATGGTTTATATATTTATTCATTATATCTTATGAAAATAATTATTGCTCGCTCATTAAGAGGGCAATCTCAACATGAATATTCAATATTAGCTTCCTTAATTGACAAGTGCAAAATGAATCAAACACAAGCTTTTTAGAGAGCTGAACAGGAGCTGTTTTCGAATGACACTTTTTTGACAGCCCTATTGGGAAGGTCTTTGCATAAGTGAGGTAATTTTTTTTTTCTCCTTGGAACATTGCAGACTGGTAAGCAACGAGTTTTCCATCTTGTATTAGAAATAAACCCATTGCATAAACACTTACATCATTCGTTAAATGATTACCGCAAATTTGGCAAATTGGTGTCTCGGTCCTCATGTTTTTGGCTCCATTCAAACTTAAAATTTGCTCTTGCAAGCTCATGGCAATGAAGAGGCCAGCATTGAAAAATGGCAAGCGAACTTATTGACATTCTGGCAAACCACCATGAAGCTTCTCACATCAATAATCATACCCTGTCTTATCCTCTTTTTGATCCCCTTCACTTGGGTGAATCTTGATTTCCCATTGCTCACCTTAAATCATGGATAGAGGTGTTATTTGCAAATGAACACTTTTTTCTGGTTGAGATGGAATGTTATTGTAGCAGTTTAAAGACTTTCCTCAAGTGCTTTTGGTTCTCTTATGACTTGCTGAAAACTAGGATATCATCCGGATAGATGATGATGATGATGATGTCATATAGCAGTGGTTGCAAGATGTTGCTCATCAATTGCATGAAAATGGTAGGGACATTATGCAATCCAAATGACAACCAACTATTCACATAGCCCTTGCCTCGCCTTGAACAAAAGCTTCTTAGTATATTTCCCATTAATCCGCATTTTATTATAGCCATATTTGAGATTCAGCTTGGAGAAGATGGTGGTGGGCTTCAGTTGATCAAGCAACTTGTCAATGTGCAACAATGGATAATGCTTTTTCATTATTATTTTGTTGAAGAAAATAGTCAACGTAGCGTCCACATCTCATCATTCTTAGGGACCACCACAATAGGTGATCCACAAAGAGAATTGTCGGAATGGGTTACGCTATTATCGATTGCGGGACTTGCTTTTTGACCTCTTTATTTTTCGATGACCAAATTCCATTGCAGTGGGAAATTTAGCTACGATATGTCTAAGGTAAGCTGAATTTCATGCTTGATTGGCCACTTAGATGGCAGCTCTTGTAACTCCTTAAAGTAATGCAAATTCTCCAAGTAGCTTCTACATCTACTTGTCTTTATCCTTGCCTAAAGCAGAGAAACAAGGCTTCTTTTATCTTCAGTTGGACGGTTAAGCATCAATAGAAGCTTCCAGCCAGCGTTGATGATATTCCTTGTCCTATTATTATCATGTTCACCATGGGAACAACTTAGTCTTTCTTCAGCAGAATTGTCGTCCCATATTTGGCACTCTTAATTCCATCAGTAGAAATTGTAACAACCACATCGTCATTCTCTTGATTTCCACCCATGTTAGCAACACTTATCTCTTGTCTGGCCATAAAAGGTGATGATAGTATGTGGATTGGGTCACTAGCAATTGGTTTAGCCATAGAACATCACATTTTCATCCACTTTATAACAGTGGCCATTTACCATGCCAACCTAGCACTTATTTTGCTAGATTTTTATGGTCTTCATTCTGAGCCATTTTATTTGCAAGGTCTTTCTCCCTTTTATTTCTTGACTTTCTGTCTCTACTATCTAAGATAAGAAGTGATTCTCCCGTACCTTGATTTTCTCTCTTTACTTGTTCCCTTCACAATGAAAAGATGCTCTAATGCCCAATTTGGTCTGATGCTAACCTCTTGACATACTAATGTGAGAAATTTAGCTGTTTATCCCTCGTAATGGCACATTTTTGGACTAATATCTTCCTTCTTTTATTGATGTGAATTATATTTCTTTATAGGTGTTTAATTAAGTCAAACTATATATATATATATATATATATATATAATTTTCTACACTCAGTGGAAAATGACAGTTAAAACTACCTAGGATCAATATTTATAAATTTTTTACCTAGTTGGGCGTCCATTTTGAAATGAAAAGGGAGAACTGTTTCGCAGATGATGCACTATTATAGCTGATGCAGGACTACTTAGATGTGATGCTTATGGATTCATTTAGTCATTGCACAACTCTTAGATTAGAATAATTTTGGATTAAAATTATTAGCAATTCTCAACGTCAACTCAAACAAATAAAGAGATGCTTTGCATAGGCTAAATCACATACTCCAAGCTTTGAAATTTTCAAGATAAATAAGAAAATTGAAACAATGCAAAATAGTAGTTTTCAATTTAATCCCTAGTCTAACAACGAGATTTAGGATGCAAAGAAAGTACGCTTAATAACCTACGATTACTAAGCTTAGCAAGAGCACTTGGAGGAGACTTTTGTGACTACAATCACACCAATGAGAATTTAGACTTAAAAGAAATTAGAGGCAAGTGAAAGAGAAACCTTTGCTTAAGGAGACGCAGAGATCCGCCACTCGATGCCTTCAAAATGCTCGTCAATGGCTTCCGTCAACGCGAATAAAATGCGATCCACGTATTCTTCGATTGTGTGGTCAATCTCCTGATTCACGTCGAAGAAGGTGGACCCAAGAATGTCGGTGAAGCCGTCGTCGTCCCAAGTGATGCCGTACTCAGTCTCCGGATCCGCCATTCATGGATGGTTGAGGGTATAAATTCAATATCAATTGATACAACTCTCGAGTGGTGGCAATAACTAACTCCACTTGTCCTCTAATCAAAACCTGAATTTTCCTTTCAGGAAATCTGAGAGACTTCAGATTTTCCTCTCAAAATCTGAGAGAAATTAGGCTCTCAATGTTGGGAGGAAAGGGTTAGAAGGAGCAATAGTAGGGAATTGAATCACAGGTGATTAACGGTGGAGAGGAGATATGAGAGGAGGGGTGATAAACTTTCCATGATGATCTGATGTCCCCATCATTCTCCCGGGGTGGGAGAAAACTCGACTCCGTCGAGTAAGAATCTCTGGCTCTCTCGTAGATCTCTAGTGCATCTGGGTCAATCTGCTGCAACTCCTTGCGATCTAGCCACGTATCCTCTGACTCGGGCTTTGCTTTCCACCTGATCAAATTTCTTCTCCGTCCTCCTTCTCTTGTGGATGATCTCATCACTTAAGACTGCCTACACTTGCTCTGCTATAGGAAATTTGGGAATATCTGGGAGTGGAGGTAGGTTCGGGATCTCACAAGGTGGGTTCACACAAGGCTGTTTTGATAGTGAATTTTGTGGGTTAAAATCAGGACCTTCATATACCACTAAGTCTTCTATGTTAAAAAAGAGATTTATATTGAAATCTGCAAGCAGATCTACTATATAAGCATTGTTGTTAATTTTCTTCAGTATTTTGAAAGGTCCAGCACTCTTTGCATGCAATTTCTTAACTGTTCTTGGAGGGAACCGTTCCGGACAAATCCGCACCATAACAAAATCACCAACCTCAAAAGCTTTAAATCGACGTTTTAAATATGCATGTAATTTGTATTCCTGATTATTCTTTTCAATTTGTTGTGCAATGTCCTTATGAAGTTCATGCAAATGAGATGCAAATGCTGATGGAGACTCAGAAATCCTATACCTAGAACTCATGGCCTCATGGGTATCAGATCTAACGGCTGTCTAGGTTTGAACCCGTATACAATTTCAGAAGGATTAAGACCAAGGGTAAAAATCACTGAATCAAGGTAATCGAGTCCACCTGGAATACGATCAGATAGGGAGGCTCTAGGGGCTAGATCTAGAACAAGTGAAATGCCTCTAATCAGGGGTAATGGATCGGGAAGACCATCAGGATGGATCTCAACAAGTCTACTAGGTATGAGCTGACTCTTATGAGGGACTGATTCGTCAGACTCAGTGGGAGTTTCACGATCGACTAAGATGTGTAAAGGCACGCTCTTGGCTAGGGCGTCTATCAGGTTCATTCCCTTCTTGGCTTTGACAGGGTTGGATTCAGGATCATCCAAAACCTGAGGCTGTGATGGCAAAAGCTTGATCTTTTTACCATCATGTTCAAACACGCAGATGTTTGAACGACCATAGATGTGGACATCGTTGTCGAAAAGCCAGGGGCGTCCTAGAAGGATTTGTCCAACATTCATGATCAACACATCACACTAAATATTCTCGTTATAATCAACGAAGGAGATAGGTATGAAGCTACGTTCCTTTACCTCCAAGGCAGTGGTGTTGACCCAAGCTACCTTATAGGGGTTAGGGTGGGGAACGGCAGACAGACCAAGCTTAGACACCATGCTGGAGGAGACAGCATTGATGCAGCTGCCACTATCCACGACGACTTTATAGTTCTTATCTTTGATTTTAGTGTAGGTGTGAAAGATCGTAGTCCTACGCTAGTCGTCAGTGGTAACGGGTTGTGACAGTGCACATCTCGCCACGCAGGTGGGAGAAGTGTCAATTTTCTGAATGTACTGGATGACAACAGTGTCGTCATCCTCCTCAAAGAATTCACCATCATTGTCCACTTGGTGAATCTAGTCGATTTCGGGATCGAATTCAGCTTCAGTGGTCTCTTCGATAATCGTGACTTTAAATGGACTGGAGCACTGAGAGGCGATATGCCCATACCCCTGACATTTAAAGCATTTGGTCCCGGGGTTAGATCGATGGGTATCCGGAGTGGGAGGCTTACTTCTAACATTAGGATGAGGAGTGGGGGGACTAGACGAGGGTCGGGTAGTGCTCCCAGGGGTCGACTGGGCAGTGGGGGTGTGAGGGGTGGAACTACCAGAAGGTCTGTAGGAAGGCCTAGAGTCATGTGCACGGCTTGGGTGCTGTGAACGAGTCTCCTCTAAGTCAAGCACCAGGCTGTAGGCATTCTCCAGTGTAGTGACGTTCCGGGCAAACTGCTCATTGCGAAGATCTTCACGCAACCCGGTATAATATCTGCTCGGGGTGGTAGAGGTCTCCTCTTTCCAGCGAATCAAAAATTCATCAAACGAGGCGACATACTCCTTCACTGGTTTGTTGCCTTGAGTCAGCCTATTCCATCTGTCCAACAGGCGGGGGAAGTACGACGGAGGCAAGTACTTTTGCTTGAGTTCCCGCTTCATGGACAACCAATCTACAATCGGGTAATCATTCCTATCTTCCCTGAGACTCTCTAAGTTCGCCCAAAACTGACTCGCCCTACCCGTTAGTTTCATAGGAGCAAAACTAACCTTCCTGGCCTCCGAAATGTCATACCACTTAAAGAAACTATCCATACATTTGACCCAGTCCAGGAAGAGCTGGGGATCGAGGGTGCCATCAAAGGTAGGAGCATCAACCTTAATGTTTTTCATAAGCGGTGCATCGGGATCATGGCCGTGGTAGGTAGCACGATGATTGGCACGGTGATGCCTCTCATCCAAATCAGGATCATGACGTGGATCATGTCCATGGTAGAGAGCTCGATGATTGGCCTGACGTGGCCTCTCATCCGGGTAGGTCTCATCCCCATACGTAGAAGGTGGTCTAGATGGGGTGTAGGGAGTAGGGTGGTCTCTAGCTCGCTCAAGTGTATCAAATCTTTCGGTGGTGTTCCTACGAAGCTTAGCTAGATCCGACTGGTTTTCCTTGAGTCGCTGACTAATATTGTTCATTTGGCCTACCAAGAGGTCTAAGGTCCTTTATAGTTGATCCGGGTCCATTCCTAAACACAATGGGGTACTGGAAGGCTTCCTAGGAAGTGGACATCAAACTAGGGGATGGAAAGACACTCTAAAATGACCCTATATGGTGCAGGAAAATCAGGGACAGCAAACCACACTAATGTACAAAGTCACCCTAGCACTACAAAGGTTTGTGAAGTTAAGGACAGCAAATAAGCACTTCACTAGTGGCCCTAAAAGCTTGCTAAAAGCTGCAGAAATTTCTAGACAGCACACTTAAAATGGTGTGTAATGGTGAACTAAGATGCTTTATGCATGTAAAATGATACACGATGAATAGTTAGCACCTTAGTAGCTTCTTATATGAAAACAGTGTAAAATAAATGTAGAAAGGAAAATTACTAGGAATCCTAAAACATGCAAGAGCATACCATGCTCTGATACCAGATGATGCAGGACTACTTAGATGTGATGCTTATGGATTCATTTAGTCATTGCACAACTCTTAGATTAGAATAATTTTGGATTAAAATTATTAGCAATTCTCAACGTCGACTCAAACAAATAAAGAGATGCTTTGCGTAGGCTAAATCACATACTCCAAGCTTTGAAATTTTCAAGATAAATAAGAAAATTAAAACAATGCAAAATAGTAGTCTTCAATTTTAATCCCTAGTCTAACAACGAGATTTAGGATGCAAAGAAAGTACGCTCAATAACCTACGATTACGAAGCTTAGCAAGAGCACTTGGAGGAGACTTTTGTGACTACAATCACACCAATGAGAATTTAGACTTAAAAGAAATTAGAGGCAAGTGAAAGAGAAACCTTTGCTTAAGGAGACGCGGAGATCCTCCACTCGATGCCTTCAAAATGCTCGTCAATGGCTTCCTTCAACGCGAATAAAATGCGATCCATGTATTCTTTGATTGTGTAGTCAATCTCCGGATTCACGTCGAAGAAGGTGGACCCAAGAATGTCGGTGAAGTCGTCGTCGTCCCAAGTGATGTCGTACTCAGTCTCCGGATGCTCCATTCATGGATGGTTGAGGGTAGAAATTCAATATCAATTGATACAACTCTCGAGTGGTGGCAATAACTAACTCCACTTGTCCTCCAATCAAAACCTGAATTTTCCTTTCAGGAAATCTGAGAGACTTCAGATTTTCCTCTCAAAATCTGAGAGAAATTAGGCTCTCAATGTTGGGAGGAAAGGGTTAGAAGGAGCAATAGTAGGGAATTGAATCACAGGTGATTAACGGTGGAGAGGAGATATGAGAGGAGGGGAGATACGGGTGACAGAAGGGAAGGCCGGCGGGATTGGGGGGGCTGGGATTCTAATTTCCTAAATCCAAACTCTAGTTTCAGGAAAGAAATTAGAGCCTAGTTATTAGGGAAATTTTCGGCTAAGAGGGGTTTAAGGATTTTGAAATTATTTCCTAAAGCTAGAATTGATTTTAGGAAATAATTTGAAAAGGATTTAATGAGGGAGAGCAATGGGGCCGACGGCATGCATGTGTGAGGGGTTGAGTAATGAGAGTAATTAAGGATTCCTAATTTAAATTCATAAGATTGGAAAGATTTAATTCCATCCTTTCTCAATTAAAATTTAATTAGGCATGATTTCGAAAAGTTTCCTAAAATAGAATTAGTGAATTAGGAAACTTTTGAATTTCAAATTAATTAAATTTGAATTTCTATTTCTTCCCAAATTTGACCAATCATAAATTAGGAAATTTCAAAGGGAGCATGGAGGGAGGTGGCCGGCGGGTTTTGGAGTGGTGGCCGGCGGTTTTGTGGGGGAAAAAGGCTCGGGTAGAGGGAATGGCCGTGGGGTTTGGGGAAAGATGAGGTCGGGTGAGGTGGTTGGTGGCTTGGGTGGAAGATGGGGATGTTCGACGATGAAAAGATGAAAAGATAACGAAGAAAACCACAAACCCGACCGTATCCAAGGTTGGTGGGTGATGCGCAAATCTCCCTCTCCTAGGGATCTCTCTCCATTAGAGCTCACAAGTTCTCACAAACTCATTCAAGAGGAAAATATCATAAGCAATCATTCATTAACTTGAAATAGAACAAAGTGGGGCTTTAAATAGCCTCATACAAATGACTCAAAACAAAAAGACACAGATGCCCTTTGAACTTACATACGACAACTCCCATAAGAGGGGTACAACGGGAAAAAATAAAACCACATAAGCAAATAACAAAATACATGAAAATAAAAAATACATCAATGACTCAAAAATATAAAGGCTCGATCGTGGCCGTAGATCGGCGGCCACGTCTCTGATAAACTTTCCATGATGATCTAATGTCCCCATCAATAGCTACTTCTCAAATCTTATTAAAAGCACGCATTATTGGTGTCTATACATTTATGCATATGCAGGTTGTTGTGTGCACTCCTGCATTTGTATATTTTTTTTTATTGTTTACTTGAGTCATATAGAATGAATACTTTAGCAACTAGTTTCTGTCAGCCGTATTGTACAATGATAGAAGGACATATTCCTCCTTGTAAATTGTGCTTAAAGTTGCAGGTAAAAGTAGATCATGACCCTGTGGAGAACTGTGAAGTTTACCCTGCAGGGGAAGAACTCCATTATCAAAGTTTTGGTACCAGTAATGGGACCAAAGAACTTCACAATGAAGTTCCTGCTCAAGATAGCCAATGCGCAGAAGAACCCAAATGGTGGGAAGGTGAATCACAGTTCCTGCTGGATTCACAGCAGCTTGCTGAAGGCATTGCACTATGTGATGAGTTCCTCCATAGCCAGTCATCTTATGCTGAGGATGAGATTAAACATAGTAAATCCTGCTTGTCAGATTATGCTTTTATTGGAGTTGAGGATTTTAAAAAGGACCTAGAAGAATGTCAGAAGCTCAGCCGCGACAACGGCCAGTCATCAAAAAGTGAACTCGACACAACTGGTGATATGAGACTCAGCCAACTTGTATGAATCATCATGAACTCATCTTATCTTTGAGAACAATTGTTTACTTAAATGCTTGCGGTAATTCCTTGACTTGTTAAGTTTCTAATTGCAGGAATTTGGATCTCAAGATAGCTCTCTGGGGTGGGAACAAGCAAACTTAATGACTAATTAGGTAGAGATCAATCATCCTCTTTTGTCATAAATATATTACCATCCATATGTTTTGCATATGCAGTTGTCATTTTTGCTATGCCATTTTGGCAGGAAATGCTCCTACTTATGTATGAAATTAACCTGTAACGATGCTTGGAACGTTACATTTGTGATAACACTGCATATGATGTTGTAAAAGTTGTAACATTTTGATGACAAAGTTGTAGTGCATGGTACAAAACTATTGATATGTACAACTGAGAGATCTTTTATATATATATATATATATAATAGCAACTCTTCTACTGTTTGAATTATGGTGGTACAAATTATTGTTTAATTTTGTGCTACTGGCCTCTAGTATTGGTGTTCCTATTAAATGCTTGTTGTATAATAATAATGCTATGAAAGAGTTCAGAAAAGGGTTTTTAGTATGCTATTAGCTAGAAGAGCATATACCTTTTTGTTGATTTTTTATCACTATTAATCTTATGTATAATAGCTTGTGATCCTTAAGCAAAAGGAACTATTTTTTTTAGGTTTTATTGCAAGCTTTCAATTTTCATGACCTTACTCTTATCTACTTTACCTTATGATGGTAATGTTGTGATCAATTATAGAAAAAAGTCCCTACGTTCAAATTTCCTTCCTAACTCCCTAAAAAATCCTTCATAAACCGCTCCCTTAGACCTGGCGGCTTGAACGGCACATAGATGAGAGGCGGAACTTCCACCTATGTTCCGCCTGGGCCGGTCCCGTGTGGACCGGCTAGATCAGTCCATGGGCCGGTCTAACATAGTGTTTGAAAGATTTTGCTGAGGCTATGTGGAGGGGAAGCTATAGCATGAAGAGGGTTGCTTGAGTAGCATTATCCCCAAAAAAATGGGGGCTTACCAAATTGTAATAATCTACTATATATTAAATGATATAATAATCCCCCTTTACTCATTATTTAAGAGCAATATTACCTCGTAATTGAAGAAAAGTTGTGGTGATGGAATGCGTTTTACATGTTTGCTTTTGATAAAAAAATCGAACAAGCATAAAAAATTTAGGATTGCAATAATCCTCTATGTATTGAAATCTATAAATCTTCATTCTTTATAATTTATGAAAATAAGTTTATACTAAGTTGAATGCAATTATTTGATTTCTATTAAAAAGGTTATAAAAATTGAATTTCTGCAAGTAAAAAAAAATAAAGCCTAATGACGGTTGCATATTAATAGGCAAACGATAATAGATGGATGATGAAAGTTTGATGATAGTGATAAGGGTTGTCAAAATTGGGTTACGGGTCGAGTTTGGATCAAGCCTGAATTTGACCTGATAATTTTTAACCCAACCCGAATCCGACCTGTTTTTGCAAACGGGTAGATTTTTCGGACCCGAATCCTATCTGCTTCGGGTATGTTTTAGTAAAATATTTTTATTTAATTCAATTTATTTAAACATAAATCTAATTAAGGTAAGATTTACTTCAATCAATTTAAAATAAATCAAGTTTAATTCAGTTTGGGCAACAAAATTTATTATTTTTTGAAAATAACATTTACTTTTTTTATTATAATCTTCTAAAACCCTCATAAATCAATTAAAAATGGATCAAATCAGGTTGATTTCGGATTTTCGGGTCAACTCAAACCCAACTTGGTTCGAGTTTGAGTTGACTCGGATCCAAAATTTTTTGATCGGATTTTCAGGTCGTGTCAAATATTGACTATTGACACCCTTAATAGTGATGACAATTGCTGATGTTGGTGATCGATGGTGATGATCAGAAGTTGCTATATACTTTTTGAGCTCTCAACTATTAAACATTTTTATGTAAAAAATGAAGTCCTATTTATAATCATTTTTAAATAAGCATTTTGATAAATTTTAGAGTTCAAAACACTCCATCATTAGATTCATATTGATCTCCTTGATCATAATTCATTTATCAAATATCTTAATAAAATCATAATCAAATGATCTTGGGCTTGTGATATTTTTCCTGTAAAGCCGGTCGATTTCACTATAAGCATTCTAGAATTATATATCATTTGTTCATTCAATTAGTGTTAAAACTTTTTCAAATATATTTTACCAACTTGATTTGAACTCATTCAGAGTTGGATTAAATTGCTTGTAGTATCAATTCATTCGTCTCGTTGATACGTTCTGTTCGACTATAAATTTGTTAAAATAAAAATTCAAATGATCATGAATTTAATTCTAGAAAATCTTCATTCACATATTACATCGAGATCCACGCTAATGATGCGAATTATTGCTTCGCATTGCCAATGCATTCGATTATAAGTTTATTGAAATCAAAATTTAGTCGATCCTAAATTTAATTGCAAAAAAAAATTTAATTCAAATATTATCTCTATATCTCTACTGATCATGTAAATTTTTTGGAGGCATCTTATATGCAAACACAAGAATTTTACAACATGTATATAACTCCAAAATTTTCATATACCATACAACAATATTTAGAACTAGAGATACCAACCATTTCTAATAAATATCTACATTTCTTAAAAAAAATTGTCAAAGACATTACACTAATAATATATACCATGATCTAACTGAAATACAATTAAAGAAAAAAAAAACAACAAATCCACAATACATGATCATTTATGAATGGCTAAATAAATATTTACACAAAGTAGCTGGAGAAAGCCCTGCATACTTAGCTCCAAAAGTGCCTGAGGCAAAATTCCAAGGCAATGATTCTCTAAGCTGCTTCAAAATTCTCCATTAATGTGCTCCTTTGAACTGAAAATATAAATGAGCAAGATAAAGATCCGTTACACACAACTAACCAATTAATTTGAAATTGTAAGCATATTTTTCGTTTTGCAGGAACAAACACAATTTTGATTCATTTGATTGAGCAGCTAATGGAGGAGTAAAAATGAAAACAGACGCTGGCCTTGAAAGAGAGAATCAAGAAATCTAACCATGATTGGTACTAAATGAAGACAAAACTCCTTGAGTTAGAAAAATTGTACATTTAATACATCAAAGCCTGATTGATACATTTGAGTTTTATTGTTTATAATTGCATAAATCCAAGAATGAATGAAATTTGAAAAGATTCACACCTTTATTCTATCTCCTCTCCTAGCAGTTTTCTTCTCAATCCTCTCAGACCCCCTAAAAATAAAGCGAAAATGACAACCTTTTCCTCTCTCTCTAGAACTCTCTCTACACTCATAATTCATTCCTCGCCATTAAGGGCGAATTCAAGGAAAAGATCAAGGAATTCATGGCTAAATTTAAGAAAAGAGGATCAATAAGATCATCATTAAGGGCTCAACATCAAATTGGCATCAAATTTATTCTTCTTCCACATCATTTGATATCAAAACCATGTTTCCTAAAAAAATTGCATATACCTTTCCCTTCACCTTACCTATTCTACACTACTACTAAGGCTTTGTTTGGGACGGATTTCTTACTGCTTCTTAAAGCAGTTTTTTAGTATAAATATTTTAATTTTTATACTAAAAAGCTGTTTAAAAAGCAATAAAAAAATCGTCCCAAATGAAACCTTAAATTAGCACAGGTGACGATGCTACCTGTTTGGCAAGGAGTTGGTGCATACAGACCACAAAACAAAAGTGTGGTATTAGCAGGCTCACCCCCACTTGAAGTGGCACCCAAGATTTTGATGTTAAGGAAGTGACGCTTATAGAAACACCTCAAAATAACAGTGTGACTATCCATCGAAGAACCTTCGAGGCATACAAGCTTATCTGCATACATCTGGTGGTTGATGTTTGTCCATGTTGTGTGGTTAGGTAAGAGACACTTTGTATTTCTATGCATGTTCACCATAAGAGTTGCTTTCAAAACCTTAAGTTATCTATTTATATAGATTTATGCTTTCTTCAAGAGGTCCATTTCTTTTGATATTCAAGTTTCAATAAATCCTCACAGATAGAATGCCTATAGTTGTTTCTAAATAAGAAAAACCTTATCGATATTAAAACAAATACTTTGAATAAGAACATAAAACGTTTCAAAGATGATAGGAAAGAGTCCCTGCGAGAAAATAATCAAAAGAATCCTCAATGGCTATATATTAAGATAATTACTAGATGAATACTCAAAAGGATTGAAAAAGAGAGAAAAAAAAAAAACAAGGAACATAAAGTAGAAGTTTCTTCTGAGAATCCTCAATGCCACTTTTAAGAGAAAGTTTAAGATTAACCGATTAGGATTGATGCCAATCTCAATCACATAAGCTCTAAGTTGAAAAATCTGTTATTCAAAACTACAGAATGGTAGATACAAAGGCAAGTTCAATTTAGATTAAAGCATGAAAAATTGATAATAAAAGGACAGTCAGTACGGTATCACAATATAAAATGGCTGGAACAAGTCATATCAAAAGGTTCTTGAAGACCAACATGCAGATAAGCTGAGAAACTGCAATATAAACATGGGTAAAAATAACATGCTTGGAAATGGTGACCAAGAGATTCAAAGATAGATGTATAACCAAGTTTATTTTAAATAGGTATATATGAAAATCCCCCTGTGCTCATACATACAGGCAAAACAAAAAAAAATATTAACATTAACATAAATGAAAAAAAAATTAGACACAAATATCCTAACACAAATATGTTCAAGATAATTTTAAAGAAATATATTTGTTTTTGAGAGGAGAGTAATATATGACTAATCAATCAAAACTTAAATTGCTCTCATCTCCAAACAAACCAGAAGACAAAAAAAATCATCTCATCAAATTTGAGTCAGCATATCCTTTATCCAACATAGATATACACAAATTGCATAAATCTACACATGCATAGTTTGAAATAAAATCAGAAATAATAAACAATAAAAAAAATAAAACCTAGAAAATTAACCACTAAATCATATACAAGATTTTTCATTTGCTCCAATTAGGATACATAAACAAGGTAATATGAACCTTTTTAATGTTCGAAATACAAATAGAGCCATGCCAAGGAGTTATCCGCAAGGTAAGGGAGTAGTTCATAAATATTAATGATTTAGGCTTTGTTTGGGGCAGCTTTCTTACTGCTTCTTAAAGCAGCTTTTTAATACAAAATTTTATTTTTTTGTACTAGAAAGCTGCTTTAAGCAACAATAAGAAAACCATCCCAAACGAAGCCTTAATATATTTCAGAAGTATACTTGCTCGTTAGGAAGAAGATTTTCTAAATAGAGATGAAAATTTAAGTTTCAAGGAACCTTCCTGTTCATGACGGTGACAGGTATTCACAGCTGAACAAGCACGTATATGGAATTACCGAATTAAATCATAGTTAGCGAAACTCTTCAGATTGTCCACAGATTACATCAAAACGTGATCATTTGTTCAATTACCATTCTAAATCATCTTCAACATGTTAGCTACAAAAGGAATTTTTGATGAAAAAACAATAAAAGATCTAACAATCTAAGGGACCAGTTGTTTGAGCCTTTTGCCACAAAGTAGGTTTGACGTGGAGCTACAAAAAAAAAAAGTTTGATGTGGAGCTGACCTTCCTCCTGACATCATGCAGTTTCCACGTCCCGCAATGCAACTCCTTTACAAGTCCAACTTCTTTTTGTGTGCTGCCTTCACAAATCCCAGTTCACGAATGTGTTCCTCCATACGATTCCTTCACGTGAATGGATCATGTAGGCGCATCAATCTTTATGGCTTCAGTTTTGAGGACTCTTTCTTATCCATTGTCGGTTTTTATTTGGTCCGGTGAACGTACGCAACTCTACATTCAGCCGCCAGTAGAATCGCGCAACGCGTTTTCATTATTTACCGCGCGCCCCGACACCCCGACCCGGAACGGACCCAAGATTGCTCGGTATTACTAGGTATTGGTCGATTTTGCTCGGCAAAAACCAATACCGAGCAAATACCTAGTTGAACCGAGTTGTACCGAGTTTTTTCTAGCAATACCGAGCAAATACCTAGCAATACCAAGCAAATCCCTAGCAATACCGAGCAAATCCCAAGCAAATACCGAGTTGTACCGAGTTGTAGAAAAACTCGGTACAACTCGGTATTTGCATGGTATTGGTCTTCACATAGCGGTATTTCTCATTTTTGCAAAGCAATACCTAGCAATACCGAGCAAATACCGAGCAATACCGAGAAAATCGCGAATATAGCATTCCCGGGTTCCGGTCCGGGTCAAGTCATCGAGCCGCGCGGTAAAGAGTAAGAGCACGTGGCGACATGTTATTGGCGGCCGAACGTAGCTCTACGTCCGGTCAGAGGACGTAATAATTGTTCCCATTGTCGACCGTAGGAGAAATTCTATGTAATTGTTAAAGGAGTTCCCGAGGCACAAACAAAGAGCAATTATTGCTTAATAAAACTGATATCTTCCTCTCAAACTTAAGTGCTCTAGAAGGAAACTATCTCATTGTTTATGAGGTTTGAATCTCTTATTTGATGAATTCTGTTCTTATTAGTTTTTTCTATATATTTTGTGACTCTCTACGAGCACGATTAGCTTCAGTCAAACCTATTACAACTTGGAGCCTCAAATTATGTTATGAATCTTAATCGAAATTTGGCTTTTGTAAATTCAACGTTATGGAAGAATGTCTAATTGGATGTTAATTAAATAAATGTTTGGGATGAATTTTTTGTCTTCTACTTTTTATAAAGAAAAGAGAAGTTATTTCACAGAACTTAAAGTTTATTGATTGCAAATTTGACCTTGTGTGTGTGATCTTGTCATCTCAATCATAGATTTGCATTAAAAAACCTTAAATTTTAAGATATTCTACATCATAATTGATATCAAAGCTTCCAATGAAATCATATAAACTATAATGCTAGAGAATTACAATATGAGTGCTATGAGATTCAAAATTATTTTCTACATTCAGAGAGAAATATAATCTAAGGAAAATTTTAAATTAGATTAAAAACTTCGAAGATATCTTTGAACATATACAATATGTTCGATTCACAAAAAAATGAAAATGCTAAACTAGAACAGTTGGACAACTCAGTCATTTTGGTGGAGTGCTATTGCCGTGTATATATATATATATATGTATATATATATAGATATATATATGAAATATGTACAAATTATATTGTAGTTCTTACTAAAGCTCTTCAGCTTAATCCACCGATAGAATCCAAAGACGAACATCTATATGATTAATATTCTAGAACTTCCTACTCAAAAAAGGAATGCTATGGGAAAATAATGAAAAAAAATATCAACAAAATAAAATGTAAAAGCAACAAATGTACCAGAAAATTTCAGGTCAAGCAACCTGTGTAAAAAAAAAATTTTTTGCACCTACCAACGGAGAATAAATTTCAAATCCTCATTATAGAAAAAAGCACAAAAGCTGAAACTCATAACCTGATGTATGATGATATGACATTGAACCTAAAACTTCTGGTACCATAAATATAGATAAAGAAAATGTTTTCTTAAGCCTTTTTAAGAATCTAACTTCCATGATGGGTACAAGTAAGAATAGTTTTAATTTTAAAGGTTGGAACTGAGTTTGCAATGAAAATAAAGGACTAAATAATGATGGTTTTGCTAACAGAGGAGCAATGTGGCGGTGCTTGAGTAGGATTTCATGCATTATAGATTCCACTTAGGTTATAGGCGTCATGGACTCTAAGAATGGGCAGTATCATGATACGAATTACATTCAAAATGATGGCCAAATTGCACAAAATATAAATTAAAGCAAGCAATGGCGTACTGCACATTCTACTAATTATATCATGCAAAAAATGGAATAATTTCTACAAGAAAATCATTAAATATTCTATATAGTTTTCTCTTTCTCAACCTCTTATAAAGCTATTAAGCAACATTAGGAAAGTTTATGAATGAAACTGTTAAAACAATATAAATTCAATTACGCTCATAATTTATCCAGAGGACGCTAATACCAGAAAGGTAAAGTCATAATCACATTGTTGAAATAAAATCATTGTAAGAAATTAAACATAAGCAGGAATAATGAATATTTAAGCAATATCATTATAATAACAAAAATAACTCAAAAGTATAGCAACAGAATTAGTTTCGCACAAGCATATGAGGGCAGCAATAACTTCACATATGGACTAGGAACGCACCTTGGAAGATAGAGGAGGTAGTGAGACTCGCCGTAGACTTTTAGCAGGTTTTGTTACTTTCTTGATCTCTTCAAGTTGAAATGCAATCTCATCAAGGAGTTGTAACTGGAAGCTTTCCTTCTCTTTTTGGTCTGCATAAAGGCTTAGATTTTTTCTTCCTTGCCTGATGATCTCTAATCTCTTCCTTAGAACGTCAACTTCATTTTCAATTTTGTATCTTTCGCTTTCAACAAAAGGAAATGAACTCCGCGGATTGAAACATGAAGTTCTACCATACAAGCCATCAATCAAACTGATCCTATTTGTGATTTCTGAGCAGCTTCTTCGAATTTTAAGTTCCATTTCATCAAAATTTGTACATGATAATTCTTCCTCTGAAGCAATGACATTTTGGTTGCTATCTTCCTCGAACTGTACATGAACATCAAGGATGTTTGATTCAGTTTCATGTTGAGAAGATTCACTGCATCTCTGATCAGTTTCATCACTTCCCATTGTACATGGGCCTTCAATAGAAACTATAGTATCAATTGGGGTACCCCTCTCACCTTCATCTTTGGCAGTAGAGTCTGTAATATCTTTATGGTATTCAGCTTCAAAAGGTGCATTCAAGCTATACACAACTGAATCATCTACAGATGTAATATTTAGGATATTTGAAGACGATGAGTTGGTACATGTTGCGAGTATGGTTTTCTCCTGGAATTCCTGATCACAATCATCTGTACTGCTAAATAATTCAGGATGTTTACTCGAACCTACAAAATTATACATAAGATAACCTTGATTTGAGCCAACTATACTTGAATTCGTAATTGGTGATGATTCCACTCCAAAATCATTTGGTTCTTCCTTCTTTCCAACTGATTTATAAATTTGTTTCAACATCAGCATGGGATCATCTGAGGAATCAACGAAAGTATCAAATTTGTCTTTCAAAAAGTTCTCATTATCAAGCTCCAGCTCAACTCTCTCACCAGAATTCATCATTTGCTTATACATCTCGACTTCATTCTCAAGAACATGCTTCTCCCTCTCCCGCCTCACTATGATCTCTTTGAGAATCTCCATCTCTTCCTCATCATAAGCAGATTTCTCCTCAACCATTCGCTTATACTGACGGGCCTCCATGCCTATCTCAGCTTTCTCCTTCTGAAGCCTCAATATCATTGCCATGGCCTCGTCTGCAGCACTGGCAGCCGCATTCCTCTCCTTCTCCAATTCAAGATACAGCGCTGCACGAGCCCCTCTCTCCTCCTCAAGCTCCTGCTCCAAACTCCTCAACGTTTCCAAACTCAACACTTTATCGCATCCTAACAGGCCTCCAACGCCATTACATGAATCGTTCTCCTCTTCATCTGCAACCTCTTCCACCAAAACTGAACCCTCCAACCAAAAATTTGGTGGTGTTTAGTTTGATGCTATTTAAATATAAAAACTATTAAGATGTCAAAACTATCAAGTCAAAGATTACTTGCTTGGATTAATGCTACTGTGTTTCAAGATTGTAACTATTCAGGGCAATATTATCTTTAGAGTCTAGTACACTAAGGGTAAGAATAAAATTACTCCCTTAATATTGTGGTATTTGTAAAATGCTTTATAAATCTTCTATTGATGTATTACAATGGTTGTGTAATTCTTCCCTGAAGATAATGCATGGATCTTGCTTGTCTAAACTAAAGCGTTGTTAAATATCCTCTGTTGGCAGTATATCTCTGAAGCGTTACTTACAGCGCCTCTTGTTTCGATTTACACAGGTTATAGTAACAGAATTTTTAGCAAGATCATGACATAATGCATAGATAACCCAAAACAGTTACAAAAAAAAAAAAAACAACGAAAGAGAATTGATTCCACCCACCCATCCCCTCACCAAAAAAAAAAAAAGTTTGTCCATTCAATTTTAGGTCTTATCATAAAAGATGAAGCAATTGTTGCGTCAAATGATAAGAAGTGATTGAACTTACCATCCTCATCAAAATCCCAGGGGCCGCCGGAAATCCTCTCAGCCGAGGTCGAGCAAGACTTCTCCCGATCGTAGATCGAATACCCAGGACTTGGATGAACCAAAGGCTCCTCGGGCGAATCAGGGGGCATCTCGGGCGGCGGCAAATCGCAATCTTCACTAGGGTATTGGACAGCATAGCGACATCGGGGAGAGGGTGAAGCACCTGCGGGCAAAAGGGAATCAAAAGGAAAACGAGAGCGAAGTGTGTGATGGACGGCGGCAAGATTGGCTCTGGGGAAGTCGAGGAGGAGGCTGTTTTGGGCACATGAAGGGTGGCCGAATCGTCCATCGCAAGTGCATGGGAGAGAGAGACCGGCGAGGGAGAGAAGCTTCGAAGCTAAGAAGGCGATGGTGGCTCCGACGAGGAGGAGGTAGGCCAGGGCTAGGTCGAGGTAAGCGCCCACAAGAGAGGTGAGAGTCCAGCTCTCTACAGCTCGGCACGCCATCGACTGTTATGGTGGCTTCGGTTACCTGTGCTGAAAAGGAGATGACAGAGGGAAAGAGAGAAAGGATAAGCAAAGGCCAACACGGCATTTATTGAATCGACTATAAAGGAATTAAAGGAATTATAAAGACGGGATTAGTAGCTTACATTAATTATATCCCAAAGCTATCCAAATTTATGTACCATAAATATTATAAGAGATGATAGTGACTAAGAAAATTCAACCTGATGAATAAATATACCATCAAAAGTAATTTGATTCGAGTCCAAATATATTAAGATGAGTTATTTGAAGTAGAAATTATTCTGTGGAGACCTAAAGAAAAATGCCGCTCGGAGACCAACCAAAATACGACATGTCAACGGTACTGGATTGTTGTACTGAGCACAGCGGTGATATGGCACATTCTGTTTGGTCTTCGGACGACATTCTGCGTCCGCACATAATAATTAATCCATTTGAAGTACATATAAAAATTCCATAATATTAATATGATGATGAAATGATCTTTCAATCTTGAATGCTTATAATCAAATTGAATATCTTGGCGAGATGAGTCCAACGAACTCAATTTTTTTTATTTCTGATATCATTAAGGCACTTAAACTTTAAAAGAATGGTTTATGATCGAGACGATTAATATTGGCTATCCAATGGTGTATTCTTAATTCAACTATACTTGTAAAGAATAATACTCTTAAAAATTATAAATAAATCACGACTCTCAGTAATAGCTATGGGGGATGAAGATTGAGCTTGGACACTGACTTGAATTTGGAGATGGCTCGCCTTTAGGACCATTTCCATCCAACTATCACTCTTGAACCACTGCCATCAAACAATCATCATCAAACCTCTGCCCTCAAAACACTGACTACGATTCTCCAAGCACCAGTACCCGACCACTATTCTTCGACCACCATCACCCCGCTAAGGTCCTCAAACCATCTTCACCAAAACGATCATTGATTTGGTATATATTTATTTATATTATATGAAAATATAATATCACCAAAATGATATTAAAAGGTATATATTTATTTATATTTTTATATTTATATGAAGATATGTATGTATAGTATTGTATAACAAAACAATTATGATGATAGAGTGAGAGTTCAAAGTTCTAGTATTCTATAGAAATTTAGAACAGCTACAAATAAGAGAGGAGTTGTAAGAATTTCTTTGCTCGCAACCGCGGAAGTAAATACGACGCATCTTTTTTTTTTCGGATTTCTTTTTGTTTTTCAACGGATACGTGTATCGAATATGAATGTCCTTTTGAAATTAATTAGTATTTTAACTGGATACGTCTTTGGCGTATCCGACACGTATCGGTGGAGTATCGGAGGCGTATCCGTATATCGGTGTATCAGATATAGCACGCCTTCATAAATAGGTGTATCGGTGCAACATAGTTGACAACTAACTATGACCCTATGACCACCATGCCCAATTGCTATCCTCCCATTAATCATTATTGTCTATCTACATTAGCACTCGCTAATTTCATCACAAATCATCCCCATTAGCTCATATTTTTGTAATCCAACCTTTTCTAATTTAGGGGTGGGCAGATGCTTACATATACATAATAAAATTATTTCCATTGAGTCAAGTTCCGTGATTTTTTTCCCTTCATGTGTCATATATGTAAATACTTCGATTATGACTTAATAATTTTTTACTACTACGTGGGGTCGGCAAACATCTTTTGAATGCAATTATAATATTTTATTAATAAGAGATAATAATTAATTAAGACAAAATGATAATTATCTTAAAGTAATGATACTCTTAATTCTTTATTAAATTAATCGAACTCCTTCAAAATCTCGTTTCACATTTCCCATAATAGAAGCCTTCTATGTTTCCAGATATTTTCCTTGAAAGGCTGTAAAGGAATGCTTAATTAATTAGTTATCTTACAAAGGACATAAATGGTGGTCCATTCCGTCACGAGCTATAAAATTTATTTATTATTTATTATTTTAGTTGAAGGAAAAAAATTATTTATTATTTATTTTAGTTGATTAGGTATATATTTATTTATATTTGTTGACTGTAACTGTCGCTCCCCACCGACTGAAACCCCAAACGACACAATGATTCTTCCACCGACTCTCTCGACAGAAACCGACTACTCACGACTTAAAAAAAAAAAAAGAAAAACAACGCTCTCTCTTATTCGCTTTTTCACGCACAGATACGCACCGAGAGAAGAGACGGAGTTTTCAGAACTTACCTCTCGATCTCCCGTTCGCAATTTAGAACAGCTACAAATAAGAGAGGAGTCGTAAGAATTTCTTGAGTTTTTTATATGGGAAACTCAAAAAACACAAAAGCTATTAGATCTGACAAAATATGGCAATGGTGGTTGGAGAATCATAGTTAAGTCACGGTGGCCAAAGAATCATAATTGGCTAATGATGGTAAGAAGATTGCAGTTAGAAGATGATGGTCGGAGAATCGTAGTTGGACGACGGTGATTGGAGGACCATAGTCAAGTGACAGTAGTTGAAGGACTGTAAGAGGGAGACTATGGTCGAATGACAAAAGTCAAATGATTGTGGACAGATGACCGAAGAGGACAATCATGGTTGAAAGACCGAAGTTTGGCAATGGTAATTAGAGGATTGTAATTGAGTGATGGTGTTCAAAGGACAATAGTCATGCGATAGTGGTCAAAAGGCCACAATGTTTCAAGGCTCTAATCGGTCGACAGTGGTATGAGTTCAAAGGATAGTAGTCGAGGCACAATTATCAAAAAATCATAATCCGTTCTTTTAAAATTTTGGTTTCTTAATGATAACAAAATTAAGCAATCTTAACCTCTTAACTTCATCTCATCTAGACGCTCAATCTGACCACAAGAATAAAAGATTTAAAAGCCGTTTAATTATCTGATCAATATCCTAAAAGTTTTAATCATGTTTCAAGTTCTTGATCTACGCTCGAATCACTTTTAATATCAATAAATTTATCAGATTGAAATATTCAAAAATCAATTTTTACAAGCTCCTAAATCAAAGTCATTAACTACATCAAAAATATTAATAAATATGAGAACAAAAGACCTTTTTGTCTCCTACCAAAAGATGAGAAACTAAAGACGTTCAAAAGAAACGGCAGTCGGCAGCTGACGCCTGCAGCCAAAGCGTCTCGTTCGCTGGAGGCTTTATTCAGGCCACTTGTCTTTTTCCTTGCTAATTTTTATATTCATATTTATTTGCTTCTCGTCTATTTTATTTGCCTCTAAGGAAATATGATATGAATATCTGGTTAGATATCAATTTATAAATCCTGCCTTTCCTTTTTTTAAAAAAAAAATGTTTTCGAATATTATGTCAATCAAAATAGATGCATAAGCATCTTATGGACTCAGACTGCTAATCTCAAAGATCAGAAAAATGAACCGGCATCCGCGAAAAAGAAATCTCCTGGTTGCCCAAAAAAGAGAAGGCCCTCCAATTAGATGATTAGCAGCTACATCATCGTCCTTGCATGAAATCCTTCGAATTAAACATTCACATAATCAAAACTGATATTCAAAAGCCTGAAGAATCCACCATATCAAAGTAGATACCAAAATTCCATTATGTTAAGAATCAACCAAAAACCGTCCCTCCAACAAGACAGGCCAGCTGAAAATTCTAGCTGCAAAATAACCTCCAGTAAAATTGAACACAGCACCGAACTCCTTAACCAGACCAAGGAATTCTCAAATTTTCGGAATGATTCCAGGTCACAATTTTTGCCTCAACTGCAGTTTTGATGACCAATTAAACATTCACACTTCACTTTTTTGTTATGTGCGCTTTCATGTCATGGAAATAGTATAAATTAAATTTATAGTTTTAAGGGCTCAGTATAAAGAATTGCCCTTAAAACTATAATATTTTTTTTTTTTTTAGATTGTTCTAACTCTGTTTTTCTTTTTAGCTTCGCTTACTAGTTTTTAACAGTTTTCTTTTTCCGGTTTTTAACAGTTTTATGTTTCCTGTTTCTTTCACACCTGAACTATTTTGTTTGATTAATGAAAGGGCTTTGCCATATTTTTCCCAAAAAAAAAAATTGATAGTTTAAATTTCAAATCGGGAAGGCGGCAATTTTTATAAAAATGATTATAAAAAATAAGCTTTTTTTTTTTTTGGGGGGGGACATTTAGGCCATTTAAGACAAACTCGCACACAAGACGCATACACATAGACTCGAACCTTAGACCTCTTAGCTGGAAGCCTAAACTCTCAACCATTTGGCTAGAGAGGGTTGTGTAAATAAGCTTTTTTTTTAAACCACAATAAAAAGCAGAGCTTTTTGATGTAATTCTTATTACTTCTTAAAATAATTTTTAAATATAAAATTTAAATTTTTTAAATAAAAATAGCTTTAAGTAGTAAAAAAACGTACCAAACAAAACTTTAATATAAAAAATTCATGATAGTAGTGAAAAAGTAATAGCCAAATAAAAAAATTGACTATAATTTGAAAATTAAAACTTCAATAAAACTATCCCAAACGAAGTCAGAGAGTTCATTTGAGACAACTACAATTTTTATAAAAGTAGTTGTAATAAAATAACTTTTTTAAAAAATATTGAAAAAATCAACTTCCTAGCACAAAATTATTGAAAATAATAAAAAAATAATCCTTGAGGCTAAGCTCCACTAGGTGGTTTGCCATTGATTTAAAAAATAATCATTGAGGGGAAGCTCAAAGGTCCCCTTCTCACTAAGGGTACACATCAATTGAAAATGCAATATTTATCAAAGCCATTTGTCCTCTCTGAAAGGATTTGGCAGAAAGCACATTGAGATAACTCATAAAAAAAGATCAAAATCAACTTGAAACTCATCAAGAGATGCCTATTTTGGACAATTATTAGCTAAAAAAAAAAAAACAGTTCTCTTTCTTCACTGATGTAATAACTAAAAAAATTAGAATACAAGTACATCAAACAGAGCACATAGAACTGGAGCTGCTATATTTCATTCTAATGTTACAGAGAAGATCACAAAGAATCTGCTTTTATGAAGAAAGAGAGCCTTATGATGAATACTAAGAAGCTGCATGAGAAAGTACATAGGTGAAAACAGAGAGAGCTTCCTGAAGAAGGCCGGCACGAATATCTTGGGGGATTGGAGCGTCAAGCATCGTCTCAAAACAGCTCATTTGAACTGATGGAGTTGAGCCTTCACCTGGAATGGACTGCAGCAGGTCACATAGCTCCTCTGCCATCCTCGAATAAGTTGCTCTAGAACACACAAATTTAGAAGGCAAGAAAAAAAAAATGTAGTTTTACACAAATTTCACATGAGCTACAAATAAAGTAGTGCGTAAATCTCCCGATAAATTTGATGGATGTGTAGAATAACAGGCACAATGATTGAAATGCAAGTAAAATATTGTTAGACCTGTCCACTGAACCGATCCAGCTGGTCAGACTGGCTTGCGAGCAATAGAGGCAGAGAAGTTCTGCTTCCTTGATAAAACCACATAGTCCAAAAGAGCATATTATGAAGGTTTTAGGAGAAGTTTAGAAGGAAAATTTGAATGTAAGGTCTGTTTAGAGGTTTCCTTCTGGATTGTATGCATTAAACAGTTTGTTTTTCTTGGATTATTGCATCTTGAATTTGGCTGAAATTAGACTGTTTTTAGGTGTTTGGGATCTAGCCACGGCTAGAGATTTGGGAGAGCCGGATCTTCCTCTCCGATTGAAGATCCACTTGTATCTTGTTTTTTCTTTCATAAAAATTTCAATAAAAAAGTGTTCGAGTGTTTTATTCTTGATTTTTTTGTCGTTGGTTTTCTGAAATTGTTGAAATCAGAATTCAGCCAAGGCTTTTCCTAAATTTCTGCACGTGCTTCCCAACAAACATCAAAACTATGGCTTGGCTGCACTTATTTTGCAATAAATTTTGGTGGCGCTGTGTTTTGATTGGCTTCTATGAAGGGTCTCTGTTTTGGGGTTGACTCATCTATGTTGGCAGCATCGGTTTTCAACTATCCTTCAACGCTTGTAGGGAACAATCCTTATGATCTCCTCTATAACTTTTTTTTTTTTGGTTTCCCGTCCCAGGGTTGCTACACAAACTTGGCTACCCGAATGTTGATGTTATGCAAGCCCTCTTGCAGTTCACTCTGTTTGAATGGCGTGGAAGACTGCTCTTTTAAACTTTTTTAATTGATAATTGAAGAAAGCTTTATAATTATAATTATGGGGATCTAAGGCATTTAAAAGCAAGTCTAACTGAGTTCTATTTGATTGAATAAATTTTCTAATTGATAGAATTCCTCCTAGACTTCTCCCAATGCGATAAGAGATTAAATTTTCAAAAGAGGTCATCTCCATGGATAGTTGTGAAGCTTATTTGTTACTATTTAATACTACAACAACAACATCAAGCCTTTATCCTACTGTGGGATTTGTTACTATTTAATAATTACATATATATTCTCTATTTAATAATTATTTATATTTTTATGAGTTTCATTAAATTTCGTAAAATCTTATTTTTAAACTATGGATTGATTTTTTGAAAACATATGATCTTCATGCTTACAAAATTCAGTGAAATTTCTTAAATATAGCTATTAAACTATCAATTGTGGCAATTTCCTCAGTTTTTTTTCCCTTGCATCTAAGGAAATGAATAGTTCTCAAAATTAAAGGCTCGTGGACTACAAAATGTATTTCTTTGCCTAAATTTATACATTTCTTCATAGATTTGTATTAGAAAATCCTAGACCCTTAGATACTTAATATTAAATTTGGCATTAGATTTTAAGGTGATGTCAAAATATTAGCTACAAGTGGAGATTAATATCAGGGTTATTTGAAGATCGTCAAAATGATGAGATCTTAAGAAGTTTGCAAAATGAATCAGTTGAATTACTAAATGAATAAATCAAATGAGTGAGCATTAATATTAAATGAAAGAGCTAACTGAAATTTTCAAATCCTCAAAAGTTCAACCACGTCACCAAGAACTTGATTCAAATCCCGACCATGGACCCATCCATTTAAATGTCAACATGGATAGGAAACAAGAAATTAATCAGGATAAAATAATCAAAACAGACCATAGAAGACATATGATGATAAAGCTAAATGTATCATAGATGCCAACATATGATTTAAACAAAGACAACTAAAGAAGTAAAAAAATTGGGCCATCTAAATTTGATAGAAAAATAGATCCTAGCTACTTTCTAACCAGGTTCTGGATGTGGGTAGTTTCTTCAAATGCAAATTTCAATTGGAGTGAACATCAAGTAAATTTGCCAAATTGAAATGAACTGAACAAGTTCAAATGTTAGATAAGTATGGAAAAATAAAGAGAGATATTGTGTAGAGAAGTTCACAAGTACTTGGGTTGATATGAAAAAAAAAAATTAATCAAGGAAAAATATTTCATTATCACATTATCATCATTTGTGTTTGATGAGTATAAAATGCTAAAAATAAAGAATAAAAACTATTATATGAACACATTGGATGAATTACTAGTGTTCCGAAATTGAAAATCCTAAAACAATGTTTTTGAGTGTTAGATATGGATTATGGCATAGAATTAAAAGAGAAATGACAACTCATCACATTCCTTCATTACGTCATGTTTTCAAACTTTGCATTACATTTTGAATAGATGTTAAAATTTCCTACTACAAAGAGAGCCACAGCATATTATGAAAATATATCATTTTGTCAAGATAACCAAACTGAATCTATTGCACCTAATATATTTAAAAGAAATAACACGATTGTTAACAATGACAATAACGAAAACCCCTTAATATTGTATGATTGTATCTAGTTCTAAAATTTCTGCAAAAAATAGTTTTAGTTGTCAATAGATTGATTGGTCATGCAGATGAATATACCCGTACGAAATTAGATATTAAAGAAGAAATGAAAATGGAATTAATGAAGGCAATGATGGTTGTGAAATTGATGAAGAAACAAGTGATACGAAGATGTTTTGATGAAATTTTCATTAAACATTCTAAAATGTGTACTCTTTATTAATGACATGATCACCCAAAATCACAATCCCTCCACTAGATCTATCACAAGTTCACAACTAAAATTACACTCCATGTATTCGATTTTAGATCTACTAAAATGAAAACCTTTAAACTCTAAGGTTGACTTTCATAATTCAAGATTATTTTCAACTCCCTCTCCAGTCTTATCAGCATGAAAAATATCATCAACAAAAAGAATACACCAAGGTAAATCCTCTTGCAAATGTCTTGTAAGAACATCCATGACTAAAGAAAAAAGATATGAGCTTAAAGCTGATCCTTTGAGTAATCCAACTAAAATAGGAACATACTTGATCAAACCACCTTGTGTTTGAACACAAGTAATAACTCCTACATGCATATCCTCAATGAATTAATACAAGCATTATTAACTCCTTTTTCTTTTCTAGAAATCTCTAGAGCACTTCTCGTGAAACTTTATCATAAACTTTCTCTAAATCAATAAATATCATAACTAGATCCTCCTTATTCTCTCTATACTTCTCCATCAAACCTCTTAATAAATGTATAGCTTCCATAGTAGACCTATCCAGCATGAATCCAAGTTGAATTTGAGACTCTCTCAATAACTCTTTGCCATAATTTTAAAGCATGACACCATAACTTAATTCCTCTAGAATTCGAGCATCATCTTTATTCTTAAAAATAAGAATCAACAAACTCCTCCACTCATCTGACATTTTTTTATTCTTCAAAATAATATTGAAAAGTTTAACACCTCAATTGGAATATCATCATGTCCTATAATTTTTACACACTTCATTTTTTTAAAGCCTATCTAACTTCGATTTTACTATTACGCTGATAAAAACTAAAATGTTTGAATGCATAAAAAAAGCTAGAAAATATACGTGTCAATTATTTGCACAAATATACTTGAGCAACTTTGTTCATTTCATAGGTACAACTAACTTCAATATTTTACGGTCAATAACATGAGAACCTTTTTTTAATCCTCTTACACATGCATTGAAGACAAGAGGTTTCGTCATGGGTGAGAATTCGGAGAGGAAGCAAAAGAAAGGAAGAAGGATTGATCGTCATTTGGTTGTGTGAGGAAGACAAGAAATCAAGAAAAATAGAGAGATAGAAGGATTGAGCGAGATATACATGGAGGGAAATTGAGACCTGCGACGAGAAAGGGAGACAGGTGGTGACCAAGCAGGAAATATCGTTGTGCTCGATCATGCAGACTTATAAGCCGAGTAGGGACTTCATGTGCTTTAAACTGTTGATATTATACATTGACTGAGTTGCGTTTGGCAAAACCAAGTTGTCGATCCAAGATGGGTAGTTTAATGCTAGTTATTTGAGGGAAGGCTTGAGTTAATAGAAGAAGAATGTATATATTTAAACTAGAAAATTTTAAATTTTATTTTGAGTTAGAGAAAATTTAAATTTAAAATATTAGTTAAGTGTTATCATTTATATCCGCAAATCACGAAATTTAATTTAGAAAATGCTTGCAAAGGTCATAAGTTAAAAGAAATGAAATTTTTTATTTAAATAGATTTGAAATAAGATATGAACATTAATTAGCAATGCTATAATAATTATTGGTGCAAGAAAGGAGAATTTTAATATATATATTTATTTATGTATATATATAAACCTATTTTATAGTCGTTAAATTAATTGATAAAGGCTTTTACTTTCATGATATGAGATTTATATAGACTAGTTTTAATTTTTGAAATTTAATGGATAAATAAAAAGACTAATACAAATTAGGTTAATGAAATGTTAGATATTAAGTTAAAAATTATAAATATTAATTAAATATAAATTTATATACTTGTACACTGTTAAATAATGAAAATTATAAAATTGGAATTAAGGAGTGACAAAAGCAAGACATAAAAAAGTGAGCTCAGTACTCATGTTCCTATTCTTACAGTAATCATATTATTTTCTCTAATTTGTTTGCATTGAATCAATTGATACTTGTTTAATTAATAATTACAGTAAGATTCGAGCATTACTTATATTTTTCTTTTTCAATGAATATCATTTCAAAGTTATTAATGGTTAGCATGATAATTCATCAAATCTAATATAGAAAGTTCTTGAACGATATATAATAAAATGACAATATAAAAATACTTGCATGTACATGTTGATTGAATGAGTACAACTCCTTATGGTTGGCTGAGGATGTAATCTACCTACATGCATGAAATAGAAAAAATTTTGGAAAAGATTATGAAAAAAGAAACGGAAAAAGGAGAACCTTAATTTGTACTATTTATATGGCGTCTCCTTGAGAATTGTATTAGTTATAGAAAATGGTTAGATATGATATGTGTGTGTGCATAGTATGCTATTTATGATCATGAATTTTAAATAGAATTGCCAGTTTATAGCAAGCGTGCATCAAAGAGTTTAAATGAGTGGATGACAGAATGTGTATTGTAAACAGAATGCTTCGAAAGAAAAGTATTTGTTGAAATAGTTATAGTATTTTTCGTCTCTTTCAATATATTGAAAATAGTTATTGTTAGAAGTTTTAGCGAATGAAATTTAAATAATCGTCTGACCGTTTGTTCATACCTCGTTAATTCAAGCCTCTGGGCAGATTAGTAATAATACCTATACAAATATCTCATTGTTATCTCCTTTATTATGATTTTCATTATTCAATTCCTTGTGATTTGATTCATCACGATTCACCCACTAACTATTTGATTTTAGCTAACCAATTCATGTTGCTACACTAGTCCTTGGGGCTCAACTCAATTTGGATAGGGTTCACGAAAGCACTTATGGATTTTTTAATTGAGCAATGAAAGAGCATTTAAGATTCTAAATATGAGGGTATGAGGCTTAAAAGAAAAAAAAAATTATCCTTGATTTTTGTTTTGATTAAATAAATTATTGGTTGGATGCAATTTCTTTTATACTTCTAATACAAAGAATTAAGATTTTCTAAGAAAGTTGTCTCATTATACAGGCGTGAGGTTTGGTTGCTCCTATTAGGTATTTTCTTACCTGTTCTACATCTATTCACTATTTTCTAATTGTAGGTTTGCATGTGTGATTAAGCTTCTTAAATTTAGTACAATCTCATTTTTAGTGATGTTATTTTCAGTGAGCATATAGTTTTCATGCTTCCAAATTTTTACAAAGATTTTTAGAAGACTGCTATATTATCACTTGTGTGTGTGTGTCTTTTTGAGTTTTCATTTTTTTCTTAAAAAACAAATAGTTTTGTAAATTAAAGATTTTGACCTATGAAGTTTAAATGCTTGGGTGGATTTGTGCATCCCATCATAGATTTGCATTGAAAAACATAGAACGTGAGACTATCTGCATCACTTTGCATACAAGCACTTTTATCAAGTTTCAGCAAACCAACGAGCCGCTTGGACAGTGAAGAAATAAATGAGAAGGGACAGTTAATGAAGCCTCAGTAATTTTAGTAATCAAAGAATACCATGTCATGTACTAAGAAATACTTGCTCAAGTTATCAGCACGTGACCAAAAGAACAGACATAATCGAAAGTAAAATTTAAGCCACATAAGACGTCGTGTGATGCTTCTAAAACCCCAAAACTTCTTGAAAAAAAGACAAAATAAGAGTTGGGTGTATGCAGCAGTCTTGTTGATAATACTGTGTGAAGTATTATACTAAAACCATCTTGAACATTCTTATGAAAAAGAATGAGGCCACTGGAAAAGAAAATATCAACGAGCAGATTCCTAGTTCCTAATAAATATGAGAAGCCCAACATGATGGGTTAGAAAGCTGGTGTATTTATATAAAAACGTAATAAACAATGCCTGTGGAAAAAAGAATCAGATTTTGAAGAAGGAAAAGCCATCTTTGGAGCACAAAAAAACACATATGGATCTTTTGCCGAGCCAGAAAAAAACAAGACGCTAAATAAAAGAGATTTTAGTTCAAACTTCCAGAAAGATCACGAGATGGACTTTCTTTAATACCTCGCATCAATTGGGAGTCTGCTTCCCCAAACTCGTAATGATTGATTTAGCCGACTGAAGAAATGCCTGCATTCTTTATTTTTTCTTGCAAGTAGGTCCTATTGCAGGGCAAGAAAATATTTCATTAATCAGAAATGAAAAAGAATAAATCAAGATGCTCCATAATTAAGTGGAAAGTGACAATCAATCGCAGTGCATCTTCAGAAGTGTGAAGTTGTGACTGGTGCATATTCAGAACTATGAGATTCAACGTGTAAGAAATAGTGCTTTCAAAAATCTAACAGAAGCCACGGCTCGGCACTACGGTCACCAGATGAAAGAAAATAACAGAACAGGTCTGATTTACCCAAGGTTAGAAGCATATTTCTAGATTTCTTTTTTCTTCCCTTACATATGTTATATATAGGTTCATTACTTTTTTTAATTATTTTTCCTACTATCTAAAAAGCCTTAATAATTATAATTTTTATAATATTTATAATATTATATGCATTGAGTGTGAAGATATTAGGATCTTAATTTCAAGATTTAGACATCAAAAAAATAAAACATACAATTTCAAGAAAAAATTAAACAAAAATCAAAGAAATGAATTTTTTTTTTTAAGTAAAATGAATCTTTACACAAGTAAAATCAGAAAATCATAAGTATACTAGATTGACCCAAAAAAAATTGAAGTTAACATTGCTGAAAATGCATAATTCCAAGTAAACCTTAGGCCTAGAAGAAATGCATATTAAGATTTAAAGAGATCTAATAGAAGTTTGAGTACTTAGATTAACAAAACTTTTTTAATATAATCATAAAAACAAAGAGGATGCTAACTTATTAAGAAAGATTTTAGTGGTCATTCTTAAGAATAAAAAAATGTTAAGGATTATCATCATTATTGGGAATCAAATCTGTCAGTTCTATAGTGCGGTTTTTGGAGAGGGTAATTAAACCTAAGCTTAGAAAAATAATAAGTATTGTAGTAGCAAATTTCTCTAATGTCTAAAAATCTAACATTGAGATGATGTTCCTATTAAAATAATTAATAAAGAAGTCTAGAGTACAATAATTTTCTCATTTATCTTGAAAAGATATATAATAGAAAAAAATCAAGAACTAGTTTGGCGGGCTTTAAAGATAAAACAGTGTAAAAAAGATATGTTAAATTTATTAAAGATATGTTCAAACGAGACATGGCCACCCATTTAACAATTAATAAGATAACCAAATTGTTTAGAATTATAAAAGATTACATTAAAGATTAACATTAGATTTGTCCAACTTGTATTAATTATATAGATATTTATAAAGTATATATACAGATTGAGACATTTGGGGGCAAATTGTTTGTAAATGAGATTCTCGTGGATAAAATATTTTCCAAAGAAGAAACTCATAAAAATAAAGAATTTTTTTAAAAACTCATAAACATAAAGAATTTTTTAAATAAGGGGTGCACATATAGTAAAACAAACACATGGCTTCAAAAATTTACGCCCAGCCTTTCTCAAAAGAGTTCAAGGACGTTCCAAGTCAATTTTTAAAAAGGCATATTAGATTGAAGATAACACACTACCTACACTACCTGCAGATTTCACCCTCATTTTGCAAGCACTTTGTTTTCTAGTTACAGATTTTCCATATGTGCAAGCCCCTATAGATAATTGTTGCTCTTACGGTGATGAACGAGAACCTTCGATTAAAGTTAGCCATTAGATAAACACGATGTGCTTGGCGAATAATAGCAACAAATTGATTTATGATTGAAATTTATCACCTTATACTTAAAGCGGATGATAAAGGGAATGATGACGAACTCAATCAAGATCACATAGTTTTGTCATCCCGGTTTGTCATGATCTCTGATTTACTTAGTCAAAAGAGGCAATTGGCCCAACCTGACCGAAGTACGCTTGCGGTAACTATGGGTTACTTCATCCAAAAAACTTCTTGACCTAGGTTGGATGTTTGTATAAAGGGATAAATTTAAGTCGACATTAGCTGACATAGAGCTTTGTACCCTATCAAGAGCATCATATAATTCATTACTCAATAGTTATTAGCCCATTGCAAAACCTGCGAGCTATGGCCGTGATCATAATTTAATGATGTTGTTTTGTGGCAAAGTCACCGATCATGTAAAGTTGAAGCCCTGTGAACTGAGCCCAGCCCCCAATGGTGGTAACATAAGTTAATTAGCTTACACATAATTTAAAAATTAATCATTCAATACATTTTCATGTATTCTACATTTTCATGTATTCTTCTAATTTACTCTAAGTTCATATTATTTAGGAACTTCAAGTTAATACCACTAGGTGTTCTCTTTGGAGCCTAGGAGATCATAGGTTGAGTGTCGACTGTGTCTTAACTCAAGGTAAGTAGTCTTTATTAATTAAAGAATAAACACACCCTTTTTAGGTGTGTTATCCTCGTTGCTCGAATTTGGTTCATAAGTTGTCCGTCCTGCTTTCAATATTTTTTTATTGTTATACATGTGTAGCATATCTTGTTTATTAGCCATAATGAAATTATCATGCAATAAAGTCAACATTATCTTGATTTATTAAAGCATAAGCTCTTATCCATTTAATTTGATTCATATTGTACAGAATTTACCTTATAGAAATTAGCTATGTTAAATGCAATAAATGATATTCCAGCAAATCATATTGATTGCAAAATTCACAATTCCCATATTTAATATAAAACACAAGTTGAAAACCTAATTATGAGAAATATGAACATTACATGCATGTGCGCAATAATATGTAATCGATAGAGCATTTTTGGACAAAATCGATATATATATGATGAATAAGTGATAAGTTATATTGAGGTACGATGATATTTAGAGCAATTGCATATGTATGAATTTATATCAAATTGCATTAATGATAGTGTTACATACACATTTGTAATATCATCATATTAGAATTTATCAAAGGATGACATATTTAATCTACACATTGATCCGTCGATTATATGTTACTACGTAGTTTCTCTTCCCCTCTTTAGTTGGTCATGCTGCATGCCTTATCTCCTTGTTTTTTATACTTTAGGTCTATCAGGTTTGAATTTTCAAACTCACTTATTCAATTTTCACATAGCATTTATTGCCGAAGTGTTTGATGAACCCTCATCACTGAAGCAGATATACTAGCAGTATGAATTTTTTTTTTTTACTAGCAGTATGAAATATGTGGTACTTTAAGTTTTTGTAGTAGGTATTGTTTAAAGGTTTGGCAATTTTATTTTAATAGTTGCTTCTTTTAGTACTCTTTTCATATATTGTTGTTTCTATTTTATTGATGTACTACTATTTTGATTTATGATAACAAAATAAAATTTTATTTTTCTTTTCGTGGTGTACTCTAATGAGTGTTGCTATATTATTTGTATATAATTTTTTTTTTTCGTATGAAAGCTAAACAAGTTTTACTTATCCTTTCATCATGTATCGTGTTGCCAAGATGTACCGCCATCTGAACCAAGAGTGTGATGGGTTGAAGAACTTACATGTTGCTGAGATGTACCACCTTTCAAACCAAGGGTGTGACAAGCTAAAGGCCCCGATCATAAAATTTGTTTGTGAAGTCATTTTACGGCAAAACCATTAGTTAAAGGGCATATGATATATCTTTATTGGCGAGAGATTGTTTGAGAATGAATCAAAGGATATGCTTGATAATATATTGCGTTTTGTGAGCTGGGATTATACTCAATTTTATCACACTCAGACAACAAATTATGGAGGATAAGTGGATTTTGCTTTTAAGTATTATGATGGTGGATTTTGCTTTAAGTATTTTCAACAAAAATAACAACAATAACAAAAACAAGCCTTTATCCGACTACGAGAGGTTGGCTTCATGAATCCTTTTTCAACATTGCGTCCTATTAAGAGTCAAATTCTCATTTAAATTTAATTAAAAAATATATTTCTAAATTTTCTAACTAAGACTTTAGGTCTACCTATACATTTCTTAATATAAACCAAATCTAATACATTTACTCTCCTAAATGGGTCATCTGAATGTCGACATTTTATGTGTCCAAACCATCTAAAGAGACTCTCTAATCTAATATGCCACTAGAGCTACTCCAACCTTTTCACCTATATACTCGTTTCACATTCTATGATTTCTATTTCTAAGAGTGAAGCCACTCATCCACCTAAGCATCCTCATCATTGCAATACCTAACTTAATTTTATGCTTCTCTTTTAATGACCAATATTCTATTTCACAAAGCATTGCAGGCCTCACCACCATCTAATAGAATATTCCATTAACTTCGAGGGGTACTTTTCTATCACACAACAAGCCCGAAGCATTCCTCCACTTCAATCACCCAACTTGAATTCTACTAATAATATCCCCATCTATTTCACTATCACTTTGAACAATAGACCCAAAAATATCTAAAACATGTACTCTTATTAATGATTAAATCGCCCAACATCACAATCCCCACCCCAAGCTCTATTACTACTAAAATTATACTCCATGTATTCGATTCTAGATCTATTCAAATGAAAACCTATAGACTTCAAAGTTGACCTCCATAATTCAACTTTTCTTTCAACTCCCTTTCTAGTCTTATCAACAAGATGAATATCATTAGCAAAAAGCATACACCATAGTACATCCTCTTACAAATGTCTAATAAGAACATCTATGAATAAAGCAAAAAAAGATATGGGCTTAAAGCTGATCCTTAATGTAATCCAACTAAAATAGAAAAATACTTGGTCAAACTACCTTATGTTTGCACAAAGTATCAATACCTACATACATATCTTTAATTGACTTGAATATAATCATTATTAACTCATTTCATTTATAAACCTCTCCAAGTCACTTTTCTTGAAACTTTATCGTATGTTTTCTCTAAATCAATAAATGTCATATGTAGATCCTCCTTATTCTCTCTACACTTCATCAAACCTCTCAATAAATGTATAGCTTCAATAGTATACCTACCCAGCATGAATCTAAAATGATTTTGAGAAACATTAATATCACATCGTAATCTATGCTTAATAACTCTCTCCCAAAGTTTTAATGTAGGACACATTAACTCAATTCCTCTATAATTCGCACACTTCTGTGCGTCATCTTTACTCTTAAAAATAGGAATCAACACATTCTTTCTCCGCTCATCTGGCAGCTTTTTATCCCTCAAAATAATATTTAAAAATTTTTGTAAGCCAAAAAATTCCTTCATCTCCTAAGCACTTCACACCTCTATTAGAATATCATCAAGTCCAACAATTTTTTCACACTTCATTTTCTTTAAAGCATCTCTAACTTCTATTTTACTGATACAACGATAAAAACAAAAATCTTCATTTTCTTAAGGATGCTAAGATCACTAAAATCAATTGTATTCTCACAATCTTCATTAAAAAGCTTATCAAAATATTTCATCCATCTTTATTAAATATCCTCTTTTAATAAAAGCACTTTTTTATCATCATCCTTAATGCAATTCACTTGAACTAAATCCTTATTTTTCATATCTCTTTGTTTGACTAACTTATACATACATCTTTAGTCCTCCTTAATATATAATTTATTATATAAATCATTAAAAGTTAAATCATTTGCATTGTACATTTCTTTCTTAGACTCCTTACAAACCCCATTATATCTTTCTCAAATTTCCAAACTTTTAAATTTAAACTAATTGTTATAATAAAACTTTTTATTTTGAATCTTTTCTTACACATTTTAATTCTACCAATATCAAATTTTAATATTAGAAGTTTTTCCTTTCAATACTCGAAGCACATTATTTGTAACATTCTTAATACCACTAACTATTTTTTCCCACATAATATTAGCTTTCTCAAGCACAGTTAAAATCTTAAGATAATGAATTTTACTTTCAAAAAAAATTTTATTAGTGCTCTTTAAATGACTCTATCTAATTCTAAGACAACATTTTATTTTATTTTTCATATATTATCCCTTCATCTTAAAATTTAAAACTAATAAGCAATGCAGGGTACATAAACATGCTTCAAGTATTTTTCACATTTCTTTTTTTTTAATAATTTTATTTGGATATAAACCTAAAATAATTTGTACTAAGATTTAGTGGCATTTCAAGAGATAGTATCATCACGTTGAATGATTTTATTTTTTTGTTATTTGAACCATGCGTACTTTGTTTGCTTGCTAACAAAGGATTGAGTTCAAGTATCAACTTTGTGAGCTAACATACCGGTGATGAACTCGAGAGTTCCTATTTTTTTTAGTAATGAAATAAGGAATTAGCAACTTTGCCCTATAGGCAAGGTGACTCGCTTGAGAAGCATCATGTATGAATAAATTTGACAAGTACATTTGAGAGTGTTTATGAATTTTCAAAATAATTGATCATTCTTCCAATAAGGGTTACATGATTCTTAAAGTGAATTGAATTTAATTTCAACTTAATTTCGGTCCACACAGCATTATCATACATTGAAGTTAAGCATTTAACATGTTCAACGGAGCATATTCGAACTAACTTGAATTTAAAAATATATTAGTGAAGTTTCCAAATAATTGCTTGCTTCAAGTCGTCACACATTTTTTGCAAGAAAGAATTTGAGTTCATTCATCTTAATCCATGTTGCATTCTCAGACCACAACTTTAGGTGTTTGATGTATTGTCCGGAGCATGTGCGTGTGAATTGATTTCAACTATTTCACAAGCTTTTTATGTATTTACACATCATATTAGCACATTTATCAATGCATTTATATACTTCTTAATACACTTGCACTACACACTTGCACGTTTATTGATGCAACTATGAGATGCACTTGCATACTTGCATGGTCTTTTGTTCCCTTACATAATGCATACATGCATTCATCAGTACGTTTGCAAATTTTATGTGCACTTGCACAATATAGTGTGTTTTCATTACATTTGCATGGTAGATTTGGAGAGTGTGCAAACACAACTACTCTCGATGATACGCGTCCTACAAACTTTGTCAAAATAATCGTGCAATCCCCATGACACGCAACAATAAACTATTTTTTTTCGTTTGAAAAATTTTCATTCATGGGGTTATGCCGCTTGTTCATGGGATGTATATAAGCTTCCTTTTTAGTGATTAGTGTGCATGTTCAAAAATAGAGTAGAGAACATATTTCACAAAGTCATACCAGAGAAAAAAAGGAGGATTAAAATAAAGAAAAAGAAGATAATAAACTAAATGATGTAGGCAAAGGGGGGGTCAAAACATTTTGAATTATAAATTTGGTGAGCTTCTAGGTCCTCTACTAGATTCAGCTCATTAATGTCTAGTAGAGAGTCTTTTTAGCTCATAAATTGATGTTCATTCCCCCATTTGTTGTCCATTTGGTTCCCGTGGATGGCTCTTTGGTTCCCGTGGATTATTTCTTGGTTTTCTGTGCCTTGGCTCCTTGGTTTTCCAGGTTGGCTGCTGGTTTTCCGTGCTGGGTGGCCTTTCCCGTGCCTTGGTGCTTCGGTTCCATGCGGGCCTCCTTGGTTCTTGCGGCTGCCTCTTCGAGTTCCGCCTGGGCTGTTTTTCCGTGACTTTTTGAGGGCTTTTCTGTGGCTTTGGTGCTTCGTTTCCTGGAGTTGACTGTTGGCTTTTCATATTCCCTATTTAAATAAGCTTTTAAATTAATGAGGGGTTGTTTGTATTCTCTTTCTTACCTATAAATAGGAGTTGTTTGTGGCTGTTTAGTCCTTTTATAATATTAAAGTTGTGTTTTGTTTTGTTAGGTATATTTTGTCAAGTTTTTGAGTATTTTATGTCTTTCTATCATCCTAGAAAGAATTTGTTTTTGTGATAAAAAATTTGGGGCCATTTTAGTAAGTCCTTTTATAATATTAAAGTTGTGTTTTGTTTTGTTAGGTATATTTTGTCAAGTTTTTGAGTATTTTATGTCTTTCTATGATCCTGGAAAGAATTTGTTTTTGTGATAAAAAATTTGGGGTCCTCTCCCAAATTTTTGATTGCATTACTAAATCTACTGATTGTGATTCCCTCTGTTTGGTGAAGCCTCACATTTCAATTGCTCTAAGGACTTCACATCCATAAATGAACTATCATCAATTAGCACATCATCCTCAATTCACTGTTAAAAAGGCCAACAACAACAACAAACCTTTATCCCATTGTGGGGTCGGCTACATGAATTTTTTTTTCTGCATTGTGTCATGTTAATGGTCAAATTCTCATCTAAATCTAATAAAGAAATGTTATTTCTAATATTTTCTAACTGAGTCTTTTTAGGTCTACCTCTACCTTTCTTAACATAAGTCAAATCTAATACATCCACTTTCCTAACCAGGACATCGGAAGGCTGTCGTTTTATATGACCAAACCATCTAAGGCGACTCTCTCTAATCTTATCTTCTATTGGAGCTACTCCAATCTTTTCACGTATATGTTCATTTCGTATCATGTCTTTAAGAGTAAAGCCACTCATCCACCTGAGCATCCTCATCTCTGCAACACTTAACTTAATTTTATACTTCTCTTTTAATGGCCAACATTCTATACCATAAAGCATTGCAAGTCTTAGTAATAAAAAGACCTAATTATAGAAAATTACATAACCCAAATTAAGGCTGTATTCAATGATACCCATTAACAGCAAAATAAAACAAAATAAAATTTACTCATTTTCCTTCTCAAAGAGAAATGATAAGATAAAAACTTTTTTGCTAAGAAAGAGAATTAAAGTAAAATAAAATAAATGTATTTTCATAATCGATGAAAATTTATCCTAAACATTTTATTAATCAGAATAAGAGCACAAGACCAATTTACATATGAAAAGGCACGAAGCCAGTTGTAGATGCTGAGGCTACAAGGCTAGATTAAAGATCAAAATTCGTATAGAGAACTACTGAATATTTAGTTTGAAGAAAGTCAGAGGTTGGATCCAAAATGGTGACCTCCACCCTAAGAACCAAGCAGCATACAAGTTGAGCTAAAGAACTTCGGCAAGTAATAAACGTATAACTGATGAATAATATTGCTAAATATAACGCCATATTTAATAAGGGGTGATTCAATACTATCACACCCATATAAGTTTTTGGAGCAGATCTCATTGAATGCAATTAGCACATGGCTTGATCTACATAGTCTGGTCTAGTTCACTATCACTCTCTCTCCACAAATATCCATTTTAACTAAGTAAGCCCCAACTGACTGGGCCAGTAATTATAAATATCTTTGGATCAATTTTACAATGAACTTCCACGGTGTTAGCTAAGATGAAATCAAGCCATGAGATACTTAGTTTATTTTCCATAAATTAAAGATAATAAAAGCAATCAAGCTTCTTACTGGTTCAGACTGAGAGATATCCTTTTGTAAGGAACTTTTTAAGACGTAGAAATCAATAAAAATTCCAGCTCCTACGTCCCAATCAGCAATTTCTAATTTGTGCTCTTCCATGATGCTTGCAGTCCTCCAAATCTCTGAATCTTTGGCTGAAACAATTATGAAAGAATCAATAAAAGTCAAGCATCAGGAAAAATCCAGTACATCAGAGTCATGACAAAAATAGGTAAAGGGAGGGATGGATTTAGTTGTCAAATAAAATAATTTTTTTAACAAATTAATCAATGCAAAATGGAGATCAAAAACTAAACACTGCGCCAAAATGCACAAAATATCACTATATCAGAGATGGGACTGAGAGCTGTAAAGAATAAAAAGGATTAAAGAATGCACATTTCGTCACCTAGACAAGCAATGCACTACCATTGGCGAACATGAATGTAGCAAGTGCTAGCGCTTCTTCTTTCATTGATTTAATCGGAATTTTAAATATGTAAATAAGCAAGCAAAACATCTTATACTTATTTATTAGCTTAAACATTGTGAAAATTTCCAAACAATCCAAAACTGTTGCCTCTTCTTGGTTTCTCCTCAACTTGAATACTAGAATCACAGCTCTAGTGATAATTATTATGACAAAAAAAAAGCACAATTTGGACACCAATAGAGGTTTCATTATCAAATTGAAACTTGCTACTTAAAACAGTCAAGAATGGCATGGCATACTTACAAGATAGGTACAATGAATGAGCTACTGTTGTCATGAAAATCGAATGAGCTTTTTGCCACTTAGAACATTTTAGATAGTGTTCAAGGGCCTCTGAATGATTCCTGTAATATTCGTAATATGTTGCCTGCAACAATATTATCGAGTTATCCATTACTGAAGAAGCAATAAAGAATGAATGATAGCATATATGAATTTCAACTTGAACAAGGAGAAATTAAATAAAAACGCTCAAAGAATTTAACATTAATGATAATGGCATGTATTAAAACAGATGGACACTTTTGGAATTGAAACCATAAAATTGCTACAATAATGACTGAAAATGACAGATGCAACCTACCAAAGCCTCGTGCATCCATGCAGGTGGTACACCGAGGTCTACAATAAACCTTTTTTGTGTTTCACTCGTACTCCAGGCCTCACAGTATTGTGACAAAATTTCCTTGATTAGATTGGCCTGTATATATCGGAATTCAGCATAGTAAGGCATGTGGATGGCAACATAAATTGCCCAATGGCATAGCCCTAGACACAGCAGCTGTGAAACAAAACTTATATCAACAACATGAAGTTCCTTTGAACTGAAAACACCTATCGATTCTAATATGGCTCGTTGATGCCAAATCATGTGGCAATCAAGTGGATCAAATGTGGAAGAGAAGGCGCTAAACATAGTTTTTAGAAGACCAAAGGCCTTTTCTCCATTGGCATGAAGAAGCATAAGATAATAACCAATATCATAACGGTCACCAGCCCTCCACTCCACTCGATCAATAATAGGACCCTCATCAATATAAACAGGAACTGGATGTGGGGCTCTTCCTTCACTAAGAAGTTGTTCATAGGTGTTAATAATCACAGGAAGTTGAGTATCAGGTGGCAACTGATACCACATCACCAATCCTAGGTGTCTTTTCCAGTCAACAGACCAATCCTGCAGAGAACCTAGAATGTTTCCAGCAAGTAGTTCATACAGCTTCAGCCTGTCTTTCTCAATATAATTGAAATCCATTCCATTATCTTTCCACATATCTAATTGTTGAGCCATATCAGCCCTATTAACCATTGATCCACCAGTTTGACTCAGCAAAATTGCCAGGCGTACATCTCCTTTAGATGAAGCAAGTTCTACTGCTGCATCAAGCTCTCTTCCAGTTAAATATACAAGGATTTTTTCCAAATATTTTGAATCATTCAAATAGCTGAAATCTTCTTCAACCCTGTGGGAAACACTTTCACGCAACCAATAGCTGAATTCAGCTCTGCGAAGAAAAGGGTTTGCCTCGGCATCAATTTTAAGAGGTCTATCCTTCTTATCAAGTACCATGTCCTCACCAACATCGTCTGAGGAAGATCTAAAATTTTCATTATTCTCCCTTTCTGAGAACAAAACTTTTATCAGCTCCCATACAGTCACTTGATGCATCAAAAGGACACGAGTGGATGCAGACAAACCAGCCACTTCAATCTGCTTTTCAATGATGTCAATATATGACCGGCAAATATCTGGAAGCATTGAGCGACTAGATATAACTCTCTGTAGCTTTAACATGTAAGAGTCAACCTTGACTTCCATCGTTTCATGGTCTAATGATTTGTGCAAATTTAATGGAAAAGAAAAGCAGAAATCAACTAGTTCTTCTTTGACTTTATTCTGTTCATCCCTCACAGTTCTGTCTATTGCAATTTTCTCTACATGAATTATAGAAGACAATACAGTTCCCATTTTACCAACAGGGGTACCAGCATGGACAAGTATGCCATTTGGTCCCCATCCAACTCTGAAAGATCTACCCATAAATAGACCAGCGTCAACAACATTATTAGAAAATCTTCCAGACAAAGGAGTTGCATGCTTTTCATCTAGTCTGAAGCCTTCTGCCCTTTTTACCCTAAGTGGCAATCCCTTGTTCTGACCTGTCATGAGAATGCCTCCAGATGGAGATATGTCAGAGCTACTTTTATGGTATTCAAGTAATGGCACTGGTGATTTCTTCAAAGGGGAAGAACTAATCCTATTACCTGCCTTCTGAGCGTAACCTTCCAAAGACCTATAAACAGAACCTTTAGCACTGGAGCTGGCAGATTTTTCTCTCAGGAATTCCCTGCCAAAAATTTTTCTATCTGAAGGAAATGAATCTTCAATAGGTTCATCCTCTTCTGCTGAAAACATCAGCATCCTCAATTCTTGCATCCTTACAGGGTCAAGCCCGAGATGAGCAGGAAGAGAGTGGGATAGTACAATTTCACCAGAAGGAGCTTCATGATCTTCTACAGTAGACTGAACCGGCTTAACCAGTACATCATCCATAACAACATCATCTTCTTCATCCTCCCCCAATCCAAATCTACTGAAATGATGAACAAGAAACTTCCATTCGCCACTTGATTGATCAAATGAAAGAAACTTAGCTCCCTGCTTATATGTACATTTTTTCAACTTGGATGTGATTTTAGAAGAGTCTAAACCTTGTGAATCAACTAATCTCAATTGAAGGATTAGTGTTACTTCAGCAGTTTTGTTTAGCCCTTGGCCAATTGGTGGCTTGTCGCTCTCATTTTCATACACTGTTACAGAATGTCTATCAAGCTTTACAATCTTCTCCAAGTTCAGCCATCTGACATCGGTAACACCAAGAAATTTAATGTATCCATAGCCTACTCTTCCAATCACAAAGTTTGGGACTCTGCTGCAGTAACCAGGATCAATATACTCTCTGGCAGCCAATTCAGTAACTGAAGGCTCAACAAAATAATCAGAAGAGAGTACAATAGGTATGAAAGCCTGAGCATCTCCATCGTTCATTCTTCTTTTCTTGCATTGAGGAAGCATTATAGAGTCACTGAAACTGACATCTATTTTACTTCCCTGGAAAAGTTTTTTGTACGCTATGAATCAGTTAGAACAATCAACGACTATTCAGGATATAATCAAATTTTGGTTTCAGCTAACAGAGTTTGCATAAACGGCTCATGGAAATCAGAACTGCAGGATTCAGACAGATTTACGCAAAAGAAAAGGATAAACGTTTCTGTATAAAGAAACTGATTTAACATCTGGCCAAGACGCACTACCAATAAGGCGATGGTACATCACTACCATTGAACTTTATAGTCAGAGAGCATCATCATAATCTTCCTTCTTTTTCGTTGCAAAGACATGACAGGCTCTCACACTACATAAGAAAGAAGTATCAACTTGAGCCTTGAGCAATAATTAAGGCAATGCAAGTCATAACAAGCACCTAAAAAGGAGAAAGGCTCAGATCCCAAAATCCACTGCCTCAACCCAAGGCCCCAAAAAGCTTAAAATGTATATCATATGAGCAATACATGGAACATAAACAAGCAATAATCTGATATATATAGATTAGCTTTCATTATTAAACAATTAGTACCAATGGACAAAAACTCCAACTTGCTATGTCATTTCTAGTGGGAAGCTAATGGGCTGCTTAGTATTCAATTTGAGGCAAAATTAAGCAAGATTTAGCTTAAATCCTGCAAAAATGGGACTTTAAACCCTACAGTTTTGATAAATCCCATTTCAACATCGTTATTGGTTAAATGAAGGGGGTGTTTGGTATCGGATTTATTTCGAGTTTTTAGTAGGATTTACGGTAAATCCTGATGAGAACTTCAATGAACATCCGAGGAAGATTATGAACAGTGAAAGCATGTATTTTCTGTGTATGATCGAAATGTATTACATACGTTTATATAAGAAAATGATGCTTAGAAGTAAATGACCGAACTACTCATGACCGTTACATAAAGTGTACGATGGCAGAAGATAATGGAAATAAAGTATAAATCGTTTTCAGCCATTTGAGTCTGACGCCGGCAAGCTCAGTGAAGAGTCTGATTGTGGCTCAGGAATGTGCGTTGATACAGATGCCTTTTCATCCTCCCGCAAGCTGATGGTGGGTAGAACCAGAAGCTTGTTCCGTAAGATAAGGAGTCTGGCCGATGACAGGGACTTGGTAAAGATGTCCGCAGGCTGATCAATAGTGGAGACAGGACGAACTGTAATGTGGTTTGATTGAATGTTGTCATGGATGAAGTGACGATCGACCTCGATATGCTTCGTCCGGGCATGGAAAATAGGATTGCAGGCTATCGACATGGCCGAGACGTTGTCACAGAAGAGCTCGGTAAGCGGTAATGCGATTTGAAAATCTTCACAGAGTCTTCTTGTCCAGATGAGGTCTGCTACAGCGGCTGCCATGGACATGTATTCCGCTTCTGTTGATGACCTCGCAACGGTCGTTTGTTTTTTAACAGACCAGGAGAGAAGCGCAGCGCCTAAGAAGATACAGTAGCTGGTGGTGGATTTGCGATCCAGTTGATCGCCTACCTAGTCGGAATCAGAGTAGGCAGATAGAAGTAAGTTTGTTTTGGGAAGGAAGAGTCCATGATGTAATGTCCCCTGTAAATAACGCAAGATACGTTTGAGCAATTGAAAATGAAGGAGGAGAGGATTGTGCATATGTTGGCATAGCTTATTAACAGCAAAGGCGATGTCTGGCCGGGTAGCTGTAAGATACTGTAGAGAACCAGCAAGCTTACGGAACATATCCGGTTGAGCGAACGGTATCTGGAGATTGGCATCAACAGGATATTTGGACGGAAGGGGCGTAAGCAGTGGTTTACAGTTGGACATGGAAGCTATATGTAAGAGGTCTTGAATATATGAGCGTTGGGAGAGATGATAGCCGTCAGCCGAACGAAGAAATTATGTACCGAGAAACTTAGAAAGTTGCCCGAGATTTATGGTTTGAAAGTTTGTTTGAAGATTAGAGATCAATGTAGCAATCGTAGAAGGATCACTGCCTGTAATGAGGATATCATCAACATACACTATAATGTAAATATGAGTGTGATCCTTATGATAATGAAAGAACAACGGATCTGCGGAGCTGGGAACAAAACTTTGTTTTTTAAGATAAGCAGAGATCGTGGCAAACCAGAGTCTAGGAGCTTGTTTGAGGCCGTAAATGGCCTTATGAAGCAAGCAAACATGGTTGGGAAGGTTTGGATCCTCGAAACCTTGCGGCTGAGCCATATAAACTGGTTGATCGAGATTGCCGTGGAGAAAAGCGTTCATTACATCGAGCTGATGAACGGCCCAGTCGTAATGTAGAGCGACGAGGAGAAATAGTTTGATTGTTGTGAATTTGACAATCGGACTGAATGTTTCAAGGTAGTCAATACCATATTGTTGTTTAAAGCCTTGGGCAACCAAACGAGCCTTATGGAGAGCAATGCGACCATCTGCCAGAAATTTGAGTTTGTAGATCCATTTGCATCCAATTATCTGATTGGTGGTAGGCGGAGGAACAAGGGACCAAGTACCCTGAGCCTGTAATGCATGAAACTCAGCTGACATAGCGTTGCGCCAATTGGGGTCTTTGTTGGCTATGGTAAAGCATGTTGGAGACGATTGAATAGTGTGAGAGAGATCAAGAAGAATTCTCGGTTTAAGATTTTCGATTTGGGCACGAGTAAGCATACGATGTGAAGTGGTTGGTAAGACAGGAGGTGAGGAGGATTCTGACGACGTGAGAGTTGGAGTAGATGTTGTGGATTCATGTGGAGAGGTGTTGGGGGCAGTAAACAATGGGGAGGAGGCAGATGAGCTGGGTTGATGAGAATTGGAAGTGGGAATGGTGGATTGTTGAATTGGAGGAAAGTATGGTAGGGGAGAAGATTTTGGAGGCTGGGATGTGGAAGAAGGTGGAATAGAGGGAAATGTAGATTCGTCAAATTGGACATGTCTGGAAATGATAGTTGTGTGAGTGGTAGGGTCGTAACACTTAAAGCCTTTCTGGTTGATGGTGTAACCGAGGAAGATACAGGGAACTGAGCGTGGAGCTAACTTGTGATGGGAGAGAGGCTTCATCCATGGATAGCATCTGCAGCCGAATGAACGAAGAACAAAATAATCTGGTGGTGTTTGATGAAGTAGATGGTAAGGATATTTGAAGAAAGTATTGGATGATGGTAACCGATTAATAAGAAAGATTGCATTAAGAACAGCATCATACTAGAAAGTAGGGGGTAACTGAGCATCGAGAAGAAGTGCTCGGGCAGTCTCCAGGACATGACGATTCTTGCGCTCGGAGACTCCGTTTTGTTGAGGGGTATAAGGACAAATAATTTGATGAGTGATGCCACGGCTGTTGGTGAAGGCCTGTAAAGTTTTATTGAGAAATTCGTCACCGTCGTCGCTGCGAAGCATGCGCACAGAAGAATTGAGAGATTTCTCAATAGCAGTAATGAAGCGAATTAAGTATAAGGCTACATCAGATTTTTGTTTAAGTAGAATTAACCGTGTATATTTAGTATAATCATCAACAAGAATAAGAAAATACCGAAATCCATCATGGGAAAAAACAGGGAAAGGACCCCAAACATCCATATGTATTAATGCTAGAGGAAACCGGGATACATGGTGTGAGGGTGAGAAAGGCGTCCTGTGACTCTTTGCGAGTGCACAGGAATTACACATTGAGCGCAGAGAAGAAATAAAAAGTAACGAGAAAGCTTTTGATAGAGCTGCCATTGTTTTGGCATTCGGATGTCCCAACCGGCGATGCCATGAGAGTGCGGATTGTGACGAAGCAACTGTGGTAGAGGCAGCAACAATGGTGGGTTGAGAAGGTACGGGATACAGACCATTAACGCAGCGCCCGTGGAGTAGAGATTGATTGGTCGTCGAATCCTTGACACGAAAACCAGACTTGTCAAATGTAATTGAACAATTGTTATCATGGGTGAGTTTAGATATAGAGATTAAGCGATGAGATAGATTAGGAACGTGAAAGAGAGGATTGAGCCGGAGCTTACGAGTGGGCGTTGGAAGAAGACCGTTTCCAACATGCTGTATAGGAAGAGAACTTCCATTGCCAACAAAAACTTGATCGCGACCGGAGTAAGGAGTTGGTTGCTGAACCGGGAGAGGATCCGGAGTGAGGTGAGCAGAAGCTCCACTGTCTAAGTACCACGGGGATGACTCTGGTTCTGCAACCAGAGCAACTCTGGATGAGGAGGGCGGAGTATAGCTGAAATTGCCACTGTGCCAGCAGGTGGTGGCGGAGTGGCCGCGCTTCCCGCATATTTGACAGTCCCCAGCAAAGCGAGGAGGGCGGGGGGGAAGATCTAGTCGCATTGCTGGAAGTAAAGCGACCACGGCCATGATTGGACGAGAAGCGTCCACGGGATCGTCCACGGTTTGAGAACAGAGCAAGTTGTCCCTCTGTGTTAGGTGGATTTGAAAAAGAGAGCTCACGGAGAGCATCGGTAGTCTGATGAACTTCTTCACTGCGAAGAAGGGAATACAAATCATCCAGGGAGATGGGATGTAAAGAACTTCGGATTGTAGTCTTGAAAGATTGGTAGGAGGGTGGCAAGCCATTAAGGATATAATGAAGAACATCTTTGTTATCCACAGTGCCGCCAGCTGATCGGATGTTATCCATTGTGCTCTTGATGGCCGCTGGATAGTCTGTCATGGTCTTGTGTAGCATCGACATGGATTGCAGCTCATTCTTGAGTTGTATAACTCTAGAGAGATTCGTGTAATAAAAACGTTGTTCCAACGTTTTCCAGATAGACGCAGATGAATCTAAGGTAAGAATGTAGGGAAGAATAGGTGGAGATATAGTAGAGAACAATGCAACCGATAGGTTTTGATCTATTAAGGTCCAGGTAGAGTTCTGAGGATTGAGAGTGAGTTGCCCGGTGGCTGTAAGAAGATGTTTGGGTGGAGGGAGTATAGTGCCATCAAGATAACCGGAGAAATGGTTTGCGGCGAACAGTTTGTAGATAACTGATCGCCACGTAGGGTAGTTTTCGGGAAGCAGTTGAACGTTGATGACGTTCTTTATGTTGGCTAACATAAATTTGAGAGTTGCTGGAATGACGATGTCAGTAGGTGATACTGAAGCATCGGAGATGAAAGCGGCGGCAGGCGGTGTGCTCGGGGCTGAAGCGGTGGAGTCTCCCATGGAGAAGAGAGGCCGTTAGGCAGGTAGCTCTGATACCATATGAGAACTTCAATGAACATCCGAGGAAGACGATGAACAGTGAAAGCATGTATTTTATGTGTATGATCGAAATGTCTTATATACGTTTATATAAGCAAATGATGCTTAGAAGTAAATGACCGAACTACCCATGACTGTTACATAAAGTGTACGATGGCAGAAGATAATGGAAATAAAGTATAAGTCATTTTCAGCCATTTGAGTCTGACGCCGGCGAGCTCAGTGAAGAGCCTGATCGTGGCTCAGGAATGTGCGTTGATACAGATGCCATTTCAAATCCAGCCAAACGCAAAAAATGGCGCGGTAAATCCGACAAATCCGTAAATCCCGGATTTGAGGATTTACGGTAAATCCTAATCCCGCTAGAAGTCGGATTTACGGGATTTGGCTGAAGAAGCGCGCGAAAGGGAGAAAGTTACCTTCACAGCGAGCGAGAGGGAGCTCCCGTTGTTGCTTCAGATCAAAATGTTGTAACGTCCGATCCGACAGGAAGGGAACGTCGTCGAAAGAGCGAAGTCGAACAGCAACAAAGTAGCCAAGTCGAACAGCAACGAAGGAGCCGAAGAAGCGACTCGCGCAATCTCAACACCTCCTGCGAAGCAACGAAGGAGCCCAAGAAGCGACTCGTGCAATCTCAACACCTCCCGTGAAGCAACGAAGCTGAACAACATGGACGAATAAGAGAAGATTAAAAGCAAACCCTAGACGCTTTCATTACTGGTTAACTTAATTAATATAATTTAAAATATTAATAATTAATAGTAGAATTAGTGTATAAATTAATATAATTATCTTATACATTATTAAACATATAATTAATAATATAAATAATAGTTAAATAATTAATGAGCAGTAGAATTCTTAAATGATTAATGAGATAATTAATAATAAAATTTATAATTAAAACTAATAAAATAGTAATTAAATTATTAATTAAATAATTAGTAGGAATATTATTTAAATAATTAGTTATTTCAAAATATTTAGTTAATTCAATTTTAAATCTCCACCCTTTTAAATCCTGTTATCTCTTGCCAAACATCTTTTTGGATTTAGCAGGATTTAAAAATTGTCATACCAAACACAAATCAGAATTTAAGAGTCCAAGATTTAGCAAATCCTACTAAAATTGAATCTAATCCTATACCAAACACCCCAGAAGGAATTATTAAATCCAGCATTCACATAGTTTAATTGGTTAAATAAACCCGTCTTAAATCCTGAAACAAATAGTCAAAGAGTTTATCAGAATTTAGCAAGAATTACCAATCATCATACCCAACATTTTTAGGTTATAATACTCTCATGGTTTACTAAATCCTAATTGAACTAAATCCTACTTGCTAGCCAGAAAAATAAAAAATAAAAAAGATAAACGAAATGCAAATTAGATAAGGTGCAAGGGGAAGTGATCAAAGCTTCTCAACAAACTGAACGGAAAATCTGAATTTCTAAGAAAATACATTAAATAGAAGAAATCAAGCCACAACACTCCATCAAAGACAGAAACCGATGTGAATTCACAGAGACGCAAGGGAAAATGGAACTCGACCAATAAATGGTGAATGCATGTGACCTAAATGAAGGGGGCTGTTTGGATGCAGGATTTAACCCAAATCCCGCCAAACAGCAAAAATGACAACTTTGGCAACAGTATTTACGCGGGATTTGAGCAGGATTTAGCGTAAATCCTGCAAGACAGGATTTCCACTCGGCATAAATCTCACGGCGGAATAAATCTGCAGCTACCACCTTTTTGCGGTGAATCCCGGATTTACTAAATCCGGGAGTTCAGCGGATTTACGGGATTTGGCCGAAGAAGCGCGCAATGGGAGAAGATGGTTACCTTCGCAACGAGCAAGCTCCCTTCCGTCGTCGTCGTTACTTCCGATCCAACAAAAGAACGGGAACGTCGTCGAAGGAGGCCATGAAATCTTTAATCGACTCGTTCAAAACTTTAAGCGAAGTCGAAAAGACACGACTGGAGTCGAGGAAAAGCAAACCCTAGAGCTACGGCTACAGCAAGAGAGAGCGAAAAAATTCTTGAAATTGCCGGCCATTTGTTAATTAATTGACTAAACTAATTTACTTAAAATTAATCAAAAAATATAATGTATTTAATAATAAATTAATAACTCGGATTAATAGCGCAATTGGCCCCCCTAGGATGTATTTGGTTCCGCCACTTAGGGGTGTCAATTTTTGACACGACCTATAACCCGACCTAAAAAAATTCGGGTTTGGGTCAACCCGGTTAGCAAATGGGTTGGATTCGAGTTCATATTTTTTACACGTATGCAAAAACGGGTCGGGTTCAGGTTGACCCGGAAACCCAAAATTGACTCGGGTCTGAGTCCGTTAAACCAACAATCTTGGCTCCCATTTTTGCGATATGGGGTCTAGGCTCCAGCTTACGCGATCTGGGCTCAGCCGCTCCGCTTCTGCTGTTTCGCAATCCAGGTTCAGCTGTTCAGTGCCGCAATCCGAGCTCCCGCTTTCACAGGACCGTAATTCAGTCTCAGTCGCTCCACTTCCGTGATTCGGACATAGCCTAGCCAGTAGCCGCTCCGCTTCAGCGCTTCCTGCTTCCGCATCCGTGACGAGCCCAAGTTGGTTGCCTTCAGGTCCACGCGGATCTGGGTTTAACCCAAACTCGACTCGTTGACCCGAATTGACACCGCCACTGGTCACATACCAATATCTATAGTAAAAGATTTTTTTTATCATTATTTCTTTTTTAATCTTTATTATACGGTCAATTCATTCTATTCATTAATCAACTATTGAAATTAAATCAATATCAACATTTAGAGCTAATTAATTTTATTACATAAAACCAATAACAACGAAAAATATAATTCGCATTTCGATAATCCAGAATTACATCATAACTGTTAGGGCTGTCAAAAACGGGTCACGAGTCGGGTTCGGGTCCAACCCGAAATTGATCCGACACTGTTCAACCCGACACGAACCCGACCCGCTTTTGCAAACGGGTCGGTTTTCCGAACTCGAACCCGACCCGCTTCGGGTATATTTTTTTAAATTTTTTATTTAATTCAATTTGTTTAAATCTAAATCAAATTAAGCTAAGATTTACTTCATTTAATTTAAAATAAATCAAGATTAATTTAATTTGGGTAACAATGTTTATAATTTTTTGAAATATCATTTACTTATTTCATAAGAATCCTTTAAAATGCTCCAAAATTAATCAAAAACGGGTCAAATCGGGTCGATTTCGGGTTTTCGGGTCAACCTGAACCCGACCCGGTTCAGGTTCGGGTACTCAAACCCGAAATTTTCGGGTCGGGTTCGGGTTGGGTTTTCGGGTCAGGTCAAATATTGACATCTCTAATAACTGCAGAGTAAAAAATAATATATGCAATAACCAATCTGATTAAAATAAAAAACAACAAACCAAAGTACTGAAATAAAACTATACTGGCACTGCAAACACAGTTTCAACTTTCAAGCTGCATGCTCCTTACTTAAAATTATTTAAATCACGTAATGAGCAAATAGTCCAATAAGTAATTAAAATCTTACAACTGAAATCAATGCAAGAGAATCAAAATAATATGTTGTAAATCATATAAAGAAATCTATGCATCAATATTTATACCAGTTATATGTACTAATAATCCAATTTATAACACATCACATTGAAGTCCATAGTATCAGTAATAGTGATATGTATCATCAAGAATAGTAACAATATCAACAGTAAACAACCTCACTACCATTTAAGCTATAGTATCAAAAATAATAATGCATAATCATTCAGTAATAAGTATTTTATAATCAATTATCAATATCATAATTCATATGATAGTATCTTGCTCATGCACTTGAGTTCCAATCAATATCTCCTTACAACTCTCAATCGTTGCTCTAGAATCATTATAGAATTATTATTTCATATATATGGTATCAATCAGTACCACATTTCTATTAGATCACTATCAATATCAATACAATACATTCATTGCTTTCTCAGTCAAATCAGTATTATATTACAATACAAATCAATCATTTCAACAAGTCGTACAGTTTAGTGCATCTTACCAATCACAATATGTCATTCTTCACTTAAATTTCAGTACACATTTCATTGAAAAATTCATATACACCAATTTAATCGGTGAAAATACAAGAAAATCATATTAAATTATTCATAATGATCAAATATATAATATATCATAAGTTACATGGTGAAACTTACAAAATCAAGATATAATATAGTTTTAGCAGATTTAGGAGAGATAAATGATAAATCTGTAGAAATTAAAATCATCAAAAATAAAAGTAAGAGGTAGTTACTTACAACGAATAGAACAATATCCATAACAGGAACGAAGGACAGAAAAATGACCCGAAGGCCTTTCACACTCATATTTTCTTTTTTCTTCCTCTCCCTTCTCTTCTCCATTCCTTCTCGGCCAAGCATGCAAAGTGAGGGGAGTGAGGGTCAGTGCAGGGATATTTATAATAAAATATATTTAAAAAACACTATTAGCGGCCTAGCACTGCAGTGCTTATATCCAACACCTCAATGATGCATGTCGATTTCAGAGTTACTGTATAACAAAAATTCCAGGGCCGCAATGACCATTTTTAGCGTTGTTGTGCTCTAGACCCCAGCGCTGCAACGCTTAGAGGTACAGTGCCATTCCATTGCAGTTCAAACATAAATTCTTTTTTTAGCACATGTTGCTTTTTCAGGTTCTCACATGGTTATCCTTATAGACAATAACATGTGTCGAGGTTGTCATAAATGACAACTAGTTAAGTTGGCAGGTATCAATGCTTGCATAAATGACACATATCAACTTTATAGAGGATGGTATGCATCAACATTATATATGATGGGAGCAACAAAGTTGATGACTGTCATCATTTGAGTTAATAACATGCATCAGCCTCATGAGAAATTATCTGCATGGCTACATCGATGTTATTAACAAAGGCGAGTGATGAAGTTGGCATGCTTCATCGTCTTGCACAAATCCTAAAACACTTCTTCGTAGAACTGATATTAATTCCCTTGAGCATAGAACGTTCTTTCAACTTTTAATTGATTTAATGACCACATAATTGACTGATCTTAGACTCATTATATTTATCGCATCCATAAAATAATTTTAATTATAAGCATGCAAGATTCAAATAGTATTTGATCCTTTAACTAATAACATAAGATTTTCATCATACATTTGATTCGAGCTCATTTGGACTCGAATCATAGCACTTTAGGTGTCGTTTAACTCATTTGATCAAGTCATTCAACTCAACTACAGGCTTATTGAAATTGGTGTTTCAAATTATCATAAATTTAATTATGAAGTTTATAATTCAAAGATTGCATCAAAATTCATTTTCCATGGGATGAATTGTTTGGTGATGTATTCGTTATCTCTATTTTGGACTTTGAATTGTGTCATGAAAAAAAATATATTGAATCTTTAATATATTTTTTGACACAAAATTATAATGTAAGAAAATATGAGGCGCGACTGCTCATTGGACGTCAAAATGGACCTCCCTCCATATGGAGTAATTATTCCGTCAGGTTACCGAATGCATCCGGAAACCAATAACAAAACGCCACGTCATTAAAGTGCTCGGTACAGCGCATTCGGTACACTCGGTATGCTCGGTATTGCTCAATATTTTTACCGGATGTAATAATTTTTCCTCCATATGATGCGATGAAGTAAATTCCTCTTTATCATAATGTTAGTCTTCATTGAAATTGGTGTGTTAGTACTTAAAACAAAATTCATGAAATTTTTTGACTATAAACTCTTCAAGTTTATTTGAAATTGGATGGGTTGCAAATGAGTCGAGCCGAGCTGAAGCTTGTTCATGTTTAAGCTCATTTAATAATATATTGTTTGAGCTCGATTCAAGCTCAAGCTTTTCATTTATGTTCAAGCTTGGTTAATTTAAAATAGCGAATGATCAAGTTTGACTTATTTCGTGTTTATCGAGCTTTAAATGAGCGACTCGTTTAAATTTATGAATGAGCCTCAACGAGTTATTAATGAATGCACTTTATCGGAACTATTAACAAATGAGTTTTTTAGAGATATTCATTAGCTCAGCCAAAAAGCCTTATGGAGACTAATAATGAACACTTATATCGAGTTCGTTAACGAATATATCTATCAAGCTTTACCAAGCACATAAACAAACAAGCTGATCGAGCTTTTTCTCCAGCTCATAAGCGAGTAGCTTGTCAAGCTCATAAATAATATAAATAATTAATTAAAGAGCTAGCTGGTCATATAAAATTTAAAAAATAATTATGAATCCCCAACCACCATATCTCAAATCTAATTAAAATTTTGAAGTTTGGAAATGGTTTTTTTTTTTTTTAAAACAGAAAGCTCTAAAAATCAATTGTGTACCATTTCACACATTAATACCTCTCAGCATTATATTAGCCGAGTACATATCAAAAGTTTACATGAGATACAAATAAAGTAAAACAAAACAGTTTACATAACCTTTTCAGAATTCATATATCATCAAAAAATTATGTTGATCGGGCGCGAATCTCGGAGCAAAATCAAGATTGGAAATTTTAAAAATTAAAACGTAGACCATCTCAACTAAGATTTCAGCAAACTCATAGTTGAACTGAACGTTTCGAAAATACAAACACAACGACACCAAATTCGACTCAATCTGATACCAAATGGGTCCAAATCAATGAACCGAAACACATTCAAAAGGTTCAAATCATAATTTGGATTATCAAATGGTTTCCAAACGTGATGTGCTTATAGTTGAATCGAGCGGCTCTATGAGACGAATCCAACAAGCCCAAGATCGCCAAATTCTGATATCATTAAGACATTCAAATGTCAAGTAAATAGTCAATGATCAAGGGATTCAACATCGGTCATCCATTCAAACCAGCCCCAAATTACCCTTAATATTCCTCCTACTTAATGGCCATGACAATCTCATAAAACTATAAATAGACCCCTCATTTCTCATAGAAGGGGACCTTCGGGCGGGGGGGGGGGGGGGCCGTTCTGGGGGGGGGGGGGGTCTG